CCTGGATATTTATACATGATATAGCTTCATATGCTAATATTGTTTGATCTTTCTCAGAATCTAACAAAGCTGATAGCAACCAGCATTAAATCCTAGTATGTAGATTCAGAAAAAGGTTTATTGCCATTGTCAGTGAACAAACAATTCACAAACTAGGAACTTGCTTTGGTTCTAATGTGCTACATATAACATGAATAATAATAAGATTAAAAATAGAATAAAATAGAATAAAAACTATCAGCTATAAAAATGGCAGGTAATGGTAACATGGCTGGTAACGTGACGATGTGACGAGTACAGAAGACAAGCATGGTTGTATGTTTATAAGCTGTTCACAAGTCCAACGGCCAAGGGAAAGAAGCTGTTCTTGTGATGAGAGGTTCTGGTCCGGATGGACCGTAACCTCCTGCCTGAGGGAAGCGGCTCAAAAAGTCTGTGACCCGGGTGCGAAGGGTCAGCTGCTATCCGACCTGCACACCCCCGAGTCCTGGAGACGTACAGGTCCTGGAGAGATGGAAGGCTGCAGCCAATCACCTTCTCAGCAGAGCGCACAATGCGCTGCAGTCTATGTTTGTCCCTCACTGTGGCTCCAGCGTACCTCACAGCGATGGAGGAGGTGAGGATGGACTCAATGATAGCCGTGTAAAACTGCACCATCATCTGGGCCGGCAGCTTGGCCTTTTTCAACTGCCACAGAAAGTACATCCTCTGCTGGGCCTTTTTGAGCAGGGAGCTGATGGACGGCTCCCACCTAAGGTCATGTGTGATGGTGGTTCCGAGGAAGCGGAAGGAGTCCACTGTGGTGACGGGGGAGTCAGTCAGGACGAGGGGGAGAGATGGGGCTGTGACTTTCCTGAAGTCCACAATCATCTCCACTGTCTTCTGAGCATTGAGCTCCAGGTTGTTGCTGCTGCACCAGTACACCAGCCGATCCACCTCCCTCCTGCGGCCAGAATGAATGAAGCGAACTCACGTGGGGAGTAGAATGGCTTACAGTTTATGAAGAGGAATTCCAGGGCAGGAGAGCAGTACTGGGAGATCACAGTCACATCCGAACACCAGGCATTGTTGATGTAGAAGCAGACACCTCCACCTTTTGTCTTTCCTCCAGATAAGACCCGCTGTCTGTCTGCGCGGAGGAGCTGGAATCCCTCCAAATGGAGAGCGCAATCCGGGATCTGCTCGTTGAGCCACGTCTCCGTGACGCACAAGACAGAAGAGAAAGAAAAGTCTCTATTTCGTCGCATCAGCAGCGCCAGTTCGTCCGTCTTGTTGCTAAGTGAGCGGACATTGGAGAGGAAGATCCCAGGTAAGGGCGTACGTGAGCCGCGTCGTCGTAGACGCACGAGCACTCCCGCACGTTTCCCTCTCCTACAGCGTCTCACTTTCTTTGTTAAAAAGTGGACCAAATCCGCCACACCTACTAAAAAATCTGGCAGATGGTCCGTCGGTGTTGAAGTTCTGATGTTTAGAAGCTCTTCACAGGTGTAAGAGCACGCTGACACACCATTTACAGACAAAAACAAACAAAACACGACGACCGTTAGCACAAGGGCGTCCTTCCTTAGCACCATCTTGGATCTTGATTAAATCCTAGTATGTAAATTGTCTACGCTACATTTAATTGAACCTATATTCTAATGTCTGAGATACTGAGTGTGGGATTCTCATGATCTGTAAGCCATGATCATCAAAGCCCATCTCATTTTAGTTTCAACATTTAATTACTGAAATAAATTAACTTTGCTACGACATTCTAATTTTTGTAGTTACACTTAAAAATAGGGCTCGGTAAAACATTTTATTTAATCTATTTTGTTTCGATTTCATATAAATTTTGCAAGATCGATTCATTAGGCCTAAGATCGATTTTTACCCTTGACCCCGACTGACCTGGGACCGGATCTCCAAGTACAGATCTGTTCCATAAATATGCTTAATGTGTACTAATATACACACACTACACATCTACTTACTGGGAAAAAGCTTGTCTAAACAATAGAAATGTTGTTTTCTAATTGAATTTAATCAAAACAAATTTAATCAAATTGTAATTAATTGATTCAGAGCCATATGAATTTAAATTGGAGGAAAGGAAATTGGCTACAATACCCAGCTCTACTTAAAAATGAACATATTTAAAACAAAATGCAAAAATAATATCCATTTTGAATCGTAGTCTGACTCATCTTTTGTCAAAAACAAACAAACAAACAAACAAATAAATAAATAAATAAATTAATTAATAAATAAATGTCATGACGCGCTGATGAGTGGAGCGGAGGTGAGGATCCAAATGCTGGGAAGGAAGCAGGCAGGCAGACAAACTAGAAAACTCAAAAGGTTTTTAATGATATCTGGACGCAGGACATGGAAACAATGAGGCAACAAGAGACAGAACTGGAGGGGTTTAAATACAAGAGGCTTGGGAGCTTGGGAAAAGAGAGGCAGGTGTGAGCAATCAACAGAGACGCAGGCTGAACCAAATGGGGAGACAGGACAGGGACCCCCCCCCCCCCCCCAAAGGGCGGATTCCAGACACCCATAGGAACACAGAGCAGGGTGGGAGGAGGGGGATCCGGAGGGAGGGCCAAGAGGGACCGAGGGGCCGATGGAGAGGAGGCAGGGACCAGTAGAGTCCGGGGGCCTGCGTCTGGGGCAGAGGAGGCGACGACGGGCTCTTGGGGGCCTGCGCCTGGAGGAGCAGAGGAGGCGGCGACGATGGGCTCTTGGGGGCCTGCGTCTGGGGCAGAGGAGGAGACGAGGATGAGCTCCCGGGGGCCCGCGCCTGATGAGGGCAGGACTGGCGGTGATCTGAGGCAGAGACGCCGGAGGAGACGTCCTTGACTTCTGGGCCGGAGGCATCGTCGTCAGCCTCTGGGCTGGAGGCGGTGTCGTCGGCCTCTGGGCTGGAGACGGCGGAGACGTCGACCTCGGACTGGAGGGGACGCCGACCTCTGGACACGAGGGGACGCCGACCTCTGGACACGAGGGGGCGTCCACTCCAGGACACGAGGGGGCGTCCACTCCAGGACACAAGAGGGCATCCACTCCAGGACACGAGGGGGCGTCGACTTCAGGACTGGAAGAGGCGTCGACCACAGGACTGGAAGAGGCGTCGACCACAGGACTGGAAGAGGCGTCGACCACAGGACTGGAAGGGGCGTCGAACACAGGACTGGAAGGGGCGTCGAACACAGGACTGGAAGTGGTGTCGACCACAGGACTGGAAGGGGTGTCAAGTTCAGGACTGGGGGCGTCGACCTCCATCGACTTCTGGTCCGGGGGCGTCGATTCCTGGTCCGGAGGCTTCGACTTCTGGACCGTCGGCTTCTGGACCGTTGACTTTTGGTCCGGAGGCGTCGACTTCTGGATCGTCGACTTCCGGACCGTCGACTTCCGGACCGTCGACTTCTGGTCCGGGGGCGTCGACTTCTGGTCCGGGGGCGTTGACTTCTGGTCCGGGGGCGTTGACACCTGGATCGTCGGCTTCTGGACCGCCGGCTTCTGGACCGCCGGCCTCTGGAGGGGAGGAGGAGTTGCTGCAGACGGGACCGCTTGGACAGGCTGGACCAGATGCAGTGCGACCTCCGGGTCCACCGCTGGAACTGGATGTGGTGCGACCTCCGGGACCACCACTAGAACAGGATGTGGTGCATCCACCGGGACCACCGCTGGAACTGGAGCTGACTGAACTGGTGGTGCCAGAAAATGGGAGAGCAGGGAGGACAGACCGTCCAGCTGGAGCTTATTGAGACTGAGGGGCTGATGGAGCTGGGCCAGCTCGTCTCGGAGACCGGCGAGCTCTGTCAGCTGGGCTGTGGGCGTTGTTCCTCCACCTGCAGATGACAGAGGAGCTGATTGGACCGGAGACGGGACTGCTGGTCTGACTGGGGGCGGGTCTAAGCTGTGCACCGAGCCGGGGCAGCGGCGAGCTTGCGGCTCTGTCCTGGGACACAGGGTTGCGGTGGAGCCCGGCATCCCTCCCCACGCCATGGGCCAGCTCCAGGGGAGCACACAGCCAGTCTGGTTCCCACGAAGCTGGAGCGATCCGGAAGCGTCTCCCGGTCCAACCTCTCATCTGGCTCCGGTAGGGTGGAGAGGATCCCCGAGGCTGAAGGTCGGTGACGGCGTTTGCGGCGAGGCGATGCCGGAGGAAGAGGAGCCGGCCGGTGGTCCGCGGCGAAAAACTGGAGCAGGTACTCCCAAGAGATGACCTTCCCGCTGGATCCTTCTGTGGGTTGCCTCATTCTGTCACGATGCGCTGGTGAGTGGAGCGGAGGTGAGGATCCAAATGCTGGGAAGGAAGCAGGCAGGCAGACAAACTAGAAAACTCAAAAGGTTTTTAATGATATCTGGACACAGGACATGGAAACAATGAGGCAACAAGAGACACAGAACTGGAGGGGTTTAAATACAAGAGGACTGGGATCTTGGGTGATTGGGAAACGAGAGGCAGGTGGGAGCAATTAACAGAGACGCAGGCTGAACCAAATGGGGAGACAGGACAGGGTGTGACAATAAATAAAAGTTTGTTAGCCGCTCATCAACTTCCACAGATGGAATCTCATCTATCCAGCTTTCAAAATAAAAGCTGAAGAAAATTAATTATAGTAGAGTGCTAGATGACACGTACATTAATAAAAATGTACAATTTCAGATCTGGTTCATTCATTCATGCCTTTGTGGTCTGAAACATTTGAAACTGAAACTGCTGTTAAGAATCAATGCCATCTTAATTCTACAGTATAAATAACCTGTTTGGAAATGTAGACAATTAATTTAGCCAGAGATGCTGAGTAATGCAACTCAAGAACGGTGCACAAAATGACTTACAAATATAAACGACTGACTCCCATGTATGATCCTGCAGCAGTGGAGGTTAGTTTCCATTATGCCTCCCCAGAGGAGTGGAAACAACAATAAGACCTCCTAGAGTAGTAGAGATCTGACATTGGCACCAGAGGCAGCTGGCGTGCTGTCTCCTGTAATTTTAGAGCACACTGATGCGGAGGGAAGATTTAATGGGCATTGGTCAGCGTACTCTCTTGTGAAGGCGTAAGGGAAACCGGCAGAGAGGGAGGGGAGAGGGAAAGGCAGTGTGTCAAGGCTGCTGACGCTCACACTGAAAGTCAGGCAACTCTCTGTGGCAGCATGACTCTTCTAACACTTGGACTCTACCTGCCACTCTGGTTCTCCTGCTGCCTGGCTCAGTCCTCGTTTCTGGACAGCTTCCTTCCATTCCCAGCAGGTAGGATCATTTCAACTCTGGGCTCCCGTGTGTGTGTGTGTGAGCGCGTGCATGTTTGCACCATGTGCATGCAGTTACACAAGCATTACGGTTGTTCAGGGAGTCTCAGACTCACTCTGAGCACATCTTAACACTGCAGACATGTTTTCTGTATTTCCTGTTTCCTCTTGAGACTGGACGTGTCTATGAATAGTGAGGTACTTCACGTCTGTGCCTAGCTCTGGGAATTCTGCTGTGTGGGAGTCATGATTTGATAGTTTGCACCTGTTTCCCTGCTTATGCTGCTCGTGCATCTTTGAATTATCACATTTGAAACAAAATGCATACAATAATTTGCCAGATGAATGTCAGGAGAAAAAGAATGCACGTTTTTTCTCAGTGAGGTCAGGATTTAGCTGCAGAAGTGAAAACAACAGACGTGACACGTTGTACCTGTACCTGATGTGGGTTTGGTGTGATTTGTGACTGCACAGCTCTCATATCCCAGAAGCAGCAGAAGAGATTCAGCCCATGCTGTTTACTGAGTCCACCTCCACCCCCGCTGTTTCCTCCACCCCCTGCACTTTGGCGCCGCCACACACCCGTGAGTCACGTGACTTTTTATTGTGGAATATCAAGCTGTTGATTTGTCCTTGGGTTATATCCATACGGCCTCTGGCTCGTGTCTGGCCCCCTGAGTGAGTTTTTGTGGTAACGGAGGAACATGATCAACACGGTTTTATATCAAACAGCTGATTATGACATAATACATGTGAAATGTAAACATTTAGAACACCTGAATTATTGTTTTTGCCTTCTGCTTTTCATTTAAAGATAAATAAAGCAACATATGCATATTGTTCTTTTGCAGACTGAAGGCACTCATGAGTCTGATTTGGACCATGAGGATAAAGGTTCTGGCTGTGTCCGAGGCCCTCCTGGGCCCACTGGACCTCTTGGGCCCCAGGTAAGGCTGCATGCTCCTTTCAAACATCCCTTCACTAAAACCAAGCCCCAGACAGCAAGATCGAATATTAACATGGCATGATCACAAACTGTGTCATGTTAGGTTTGGAGGTGTAAAGAATTAGTCCCCCCCCCCCCCCCCCCCCCACACACACACACACACACACACCACCCACCCTATCTCCTCTCCAGCTTGATAGTTCCTCCAGAGCGGGAGAGACGGGGCTTTCTCCGGCCCTTGGAGCACACCAGCCCATTAACGCTCTACATTTAGCTGGGACACAAATAGCCTTTTTCCACTGCCTGCCAGCGGGTCACACATCCTTCTCAGAAACGGTCTGAAGAGTCATCTGCTTGGAAAGGCGTCCTGTATCGCGTAAATTCCAGGGATCACCGATACAACCGCCCATGTGTTTGTGTTTTTAAGCCTCCAAAGACCTGACATTTTTGGTTCTCACCAGACACGACTGTCTGCTGCTATCTTAGATTTAACAAATGGTTGTTGAAGCATTAGCTGTAGCTGCTCACCTCCGACAGTTACACCTCCAGCTGGACCAGAGCAGCACTTCAGCATATGAAAAAGACCCACGGCATGCTTTTTAATCAGCAGGGACCAGTCAGCCTCTAGTCAACTGAAACTGCAGCTCTGCTCTCCCAGAAGCAGTGAGGACTTTGTGGTGGGATGTTGAGAACATTAAAACTAATCTAGATGTCTATCGGTTTGATTTACTTGGTGATTTCTAGGGTCCACCTGGTCTACCTGGAATAAAAGGGCCTAAAGGAGAAAAAGTAAGCAGTTTATCTCATCCAGCTAAATTTGATTTCCTTATCCACTCATTATTTTTATAAACTGATCTAATTGACTTGTTGCACATGACTATAAAATGCTTTTGGGAAGTAGTTCATTAAGTCCTGTACCCCCCCCCCCCCCAATCCTGTTGTCAGGGAGAAATCGGAAGACCTGGGCAGAAGGTGAGAGTCTCCATTAATCACTCCATGTTCTTCGCTGCTGTAAGTGGATTTTCTCAAAAACAAGATACAAAACATCCAGCCTGTGTGTGTGTGTGTGTGTGTGTGTGTGTGTGTGTGTGTGTGTGTGTGTGTGTGTGTGTGTGTGTGTGTGTGTGTGTGTGTGTGTGTGTGTGTGTGTGTGTGTGTGTCAGAAACTCAGTGCAACCTTGACAGGAGACAGAACAGACACACAGAGAGGATGAGATAGTCTGGACTTTCTGACAGAGGGTCCTCTCTCTCTGCAGAGGAAGGGGTGTGTGTGTGTGTGTGTGGGGGGGGGGGTAACCTCCATATTGAGATGCAACATCAGGCTTCCTAGACGACTCTTCTCCCTTTCTCTTTGAAAACAGTTGCACCGCTGTGACTGGCGGATCAGCACAGTTTGTGATGAGGCAGAGGACCTCCTGATTGATCTGTTGCAGCCGTGCAGCAGTAAAAGCACCCCCCCCCCCCCCCCCCCGCAGGTTTGCAGCACTGCAGTGCAATTTAGCTTAGTGCTTCGGCGAGATCATTAATCATTTTATTCCCAACAAGCACAGACTCCTGTTCTATATACGGCCCATCATTTAATTAAAGAGAGCAAAGTGACAGGGCTCGTTTCTGCCCCATGTGCAGCGCCGGCTGATGGATTCTGGTTCTGTCAGCTAAAACGGCTCTAATATTTCTCATTGTAAAAGCAAACTAACATTTGAAAGCTTGGTTATCTAAAACACAAAAGATGCTATTTCAGGGTCGTTCAGGACCTGCTGGACCTCCAGGGAGCCAAGGCTTGCCAGGATGGCCAGGACCAAGTGGGGCCAAAGTGAGTAAGTCAGACATCAATCATGTAGATCATTTCTAAAAAAAAAGAAATGATAAATAATAAAACCAAACATGTTAAAGTAAAAATTTACACTTTAAAGTCTTTGGAGTGTTTTTCTTGCATCTAATGTTTTCTTTTTTGTCAGGGTGAGAAAGGGGACACAGGTTTGATGGGTTTACCTGGATCCAGAGGACCAATAGGGCCAAGGGTATGTCCATGAGGCTTGGAATGATGTCACTTTGATTTTATGCTTGTTGTATTTTCTCTTATTATTAAATTGTTTTCAAATCTAGGGTTTACCTGGGTATAAAGGAGAAAAGGTGCGTGCACGTGTAACTATGTTTAGTGGGTGAGGACGGCGTTCTGTAGGTAATCTCTGGTTTCTGCTGCATCAGGGTTCTCGAGGGGACCGTGGTGAAGCTGGACTTAAAGGAGACAAAGTGGGTCCAAATGATCTGTAGTATTTAGTAAAATATGTTTAAAAAATCTGAATTCTTCCCATCTTTTGTTTTATCTCTGAAGGGTGCGATGGGCTTCCCAGGAATGCTTGGACAAAAAGTAAAGCGCAGCTTTAACCTTTTTCTCCTGCATTAAATGCTTTTGAATAAAGACTGGATGTGGTTCTCTGTGCAGGGTGAGATGGGTCCAAAAGGAGAACCTGGAACACCAGGAAACAGAGGACCTACGGGTCGACCCGGGAAGAGAGGAAAGCAGGTGAAGAGTTTACATTTACATGCACACTGGCAGGTTACAGAGTAGGCGAGGATGAAAGGCACATTCCTGAGGAAAAATTAAAAGGTGCACCTAAGTTTGTAAATTCATAACAAACTGTCATAATAACAGAAACTAGACGTTTGTTTTGATGTAAACAATTGAATGAGAAGAGAAACAAGTTAAGCAGAAATGTTAAAGTCACTGTCAGTGAGTCATGAGTCACATAAACACACACTGGAGAAAACCATGAGCTGAGTACTGAAAGAATTTCTGACCAGAAAGTGATAAAAATGTGCACGTGTGTGTGTGTGTGTGTGTGTGTGTGTGTGTGTGTGTGTGTGTGTGTGTGTGTGTGTGTGTGTGTGTGTGTGTGCGTGTGTTTGTGTGCGTGTGTGTGTGTGTGTGTGTGTGTGTGTGTGTGCGCACGTGCATGTGTGTGTGTGTGTATTGGTGGGTGGATGTGCATGTAAGACTTTGAGTACGTAATAAGTGTGCAAATGAATGCAGAAATGGGACAGTTAACATTGCATCACCGTGTCGTATCTCCGCGACTTCCTGTCTGGGGATGCCGGCCATTGTTTACTCTAGATAACGGGATTTTCCCTGGATGGCTGGTATCCAGCAGGTTTTAGTGGTTTCTCTGCTCCAACACACTTGATTCAGTGGTTGAATCCCCAGTGCAGCAGCTCATCAGGCTCTGCAGAAGCCTGTCAATCACCTGCTGACTGAAATCAGGTGTGTTGAAGCAGGGTTAAGACTAAAACGTGCTGGATGCTGACCCAGAATCTGAAGCTGTTTGAAGTTTCCTTGTAGTGTTTGATCATGAACCTTTTGAATCCTAGTGGCTTGTTTTAAATCTGAAAACCTTTTATTGTTTCAGGGAGTGAAAGGAGACCCAGGAAGAATGGGTCCCATGGGGCCAGTGGGCCCACAGGGCCTTCCTGGCCACCCTGGACCTCCTGGTCTACCAGCTACAGGTGAAGACTCTTGAAAACTCTGTTTTAAAATGAAAATATTTCTCCCTCTGTGAATTAATTCATTTAAAATGTGTTTTATTTGTTACTTTAAATCAGATTTTGGATGCTCAGCTCTGGCGTTTGAGTGAGCTGACGAGAGAAAGAGTGTGTTTTCAAAAAGAGGACATCAGTCAGAAGCTGAAAGTCTGCTTCAAGCGAGTCTGCTAGGACCAGAAGTCTTATTTAGCAGCAGAGACATCTAATCTGGGTCTGAGCTGAAACTAGACACTCATCGTTACATCATGTGACTTAGCAGAGTTCACAGTTTCACAAATATTATGTCACCACATAATCAAAATTACATTTATCTTGTATGAAATCAGCTGATTGCCGGTGCCTCTTGATGGATAAATCAAACAAACTGTATTTATTCACTTGTGGGATTTCACATGACCTCCTTAACTTGCAGTTTGGATTATTCAGACATAATCTGTGCATTCTGATTATGGCGTCTTCTTGATTTCAACCTATTTCCATATAAAATCTGATTTTTATTTACTTTTTGTTTATAAACTCCTCTTTTATTTTTGTTTCTATTTTGTGTTTGGCAGGATTATACATGGTGGGTTCAAAAGGTGCAAGAGGTCCACCAGGAGCTCCTGGAAAGTGTAGCTGCAGCTCTCTCAGTACTTCTTCATCTGACGATTATGCCTCCACAGTGAGCTTCCCCAAAGTGCCCGCGGTGAGGAACCATCCTGCTGCTGTCAGACTGTCTGTCACACGCAAAATCACCAAGATCACAACATGCAGTTTCCAATAACAGTGAGGAGTGAGCAACATCTCACCCCGCCACGTGGACCCAAGGATTAACCATCAACCATCCAAACTACCCCCCTCGTTGAGTCATTAAATTAGTTAGATTCTGCAACAAAATGAGCCAGAACATTTAAAGGTTGAACATGGAACAAATTAATAAAAAGCTATAGTTTAATTAAAATATAGTGAAATATTTATTTTGACAGGCACAACACTGAGTTTATGTTTACATCCACCAGCCAATAGAGGGTTAGGGCTGCCAAAAAGTCCGCTCAGCACAGCGGCTGGCAGTGTGGAAATTGGCGGACTCGGCACGTCAAGCAGCTGCTTCTGAGCCCAGATGTCATTATCCTTCTCAGAAAAGGAGCGACCAGAAAAGATCTAAAACCAGAGTGAGTTTAGGTGAAGCCTTATTTGGACCCAAAGAAAACATTTCATGTACGTATCTGCAGCAAACCTGATATCCTGGAAACCCTGTTCTATTGTTGCAACCACAACCTCCACACACTAATGTCGCCCTGCTGTTCGTTTTCCACATTCCACCTTTGGGCACTGCAAGCCTCACTGGGGAAGGGTTGAGGTCACAGTACAAGATTCAGATTGTACTTCAGATGGGGGCAGCAGTAGCTCAGGTGGTAGAGTGGGTTGCCTCATGATCGGATGGTCATGGGGGCGATTCCAGCTCCCGCCAGGGGTATTCTGCTGCTGTGTCCTTGGGCAAGACACTTCACCCAACTTGCCTGTGTTGGTGGTGGTCAGAGGGGCCGACGATGCCAAATGGCAGCCTCGCCTCTGTCAGACCGCGCCAGGGCGGCTGTGGCTACAAGTAGCTTACCATCACTAGCAGTGTGTGAATGTAAGAGTTCGCGCAAGCGTCTTTGAGTGTCCTAATAAAACGCCGTATAAGTTCGATGAAGATGATTATTAAAATTAAGAGGGTGAAACATCTGTTGACCAAAACTATTTCAAAGACACATCTGGTTTTTACCAAATACACCAGGATGATTTATGGTGTGTGTGTGTGTGTGTGTGTGTGTGTGTGTGTGTGTGTGTGTGTGTGTGTGTGTGTGTGTGTGTGTGTGTGTGTGTGTGTGTGTGTGTGTGTGTGTGTGTGTGTGTGTGTGTGTGTGTGTGTGTGTGTGTGTGTGTGTGTGTGTGTGTGTGTGTGTGTGTGTGTGTGTCCCATTACAACTGGTGTAAACCTGCATTCAGATACAGAACACCATACAGTTATGGTGGTAGTTGTATGGTTTGGAGCTGCTTCAGCAGGGTTAAAGTATGTAATCCAGTTGTCTTTGTCTGAAATTGAAGTCTGTTTGATAATCTCAAACATTTAAAAGAGCAAAGACACAACTCTATTAGAAATATTTCATTTGTGACAACTGAAAGTGGCACTTTGACAGAAGTAAACTGAAATTAGAAACACAAAACATTCAGTTCAGGTTATTTATAGTGTCATCTCAGGGCACGTCTCAAAATAAAACATTCCAACTAAGTTCAGTTCATTAATTAGTTCAAAGTTTCCATATAAGAGACCCAGCAGATTGCATCGAGTCACTGACTTGTGTCAGAAACAGCAATCCTCGTACGAAGCAATCACGTGGCATTCTCAGTAAACCTATTTTCTCCTTTCAGATATTTGTGGTTAGTAACGAGGAGGAGCTCGAGCGCCTTCACACCGACAACGCTCTTGCATTCCGAAAAGACCAGAGATCCCTTTATTTCAAAGACATTGATGGCTGGCTGCCAATCCAGGTGACTTCACGACTTTTTTTTCCCCCAAACAGACGAGAACCTCCAAACTGATTTAATAACACTTTTGCACAAGACGTTTCCATTCCAGCTGGCACCTTTCCAGTCCATGGAAAACGCCCCCGATGAAGACGGGTACTGCGGCGATGGGGTGGTGCAGATCTCCAACGGGGAGGAGTGTGACGACAGAAACAGAGTTGTCACGGACGGCTGTGTCAGTAAGTCCACATTAGACGGTCTTAAACAGTTTATCTGTTCACATGTAACATGACCTCACCATCATGTCTCACCTTACTGCAGAGTGTAAACATGCCTACTGTGGAGACGGATACCGCTACGAAGGTGCTGAGGAGTGTGATGGGAAAGACTTTGGATACCAGACGTGTAATGCATACCTTCCAGGGTAAGCAAGAATATGTGTAGAAAAACACCTGCTGCAACAAAGAGAGCGGACCTCAGTGTGTTTCTCTGCTCTTTTCAGGTCCTACGGTTTGCTCAAGTGCACACCATACTGTGTTATCGACTCCACAAACTGCAAATACTTCACTTGACGAGGAGCTGAAGTGCTGCAGTATCTTCTGTGTGGTATTTGCTTGACACATGATGTGAAAATTTTCATTCTAAAAAAAGGAAAAGAACAAAAGCAGCAAAAAGCAAGAGACTCTTCAGGAAAGAGGCAGAAATATTTAACTGTAACGGGGTAAAAAAAAGAAACTTGCGTATGTACACACATCTAACTCATCGGTCTTGAAGAGATGCCACTCAGTAGCAAAGGTGAAACGCCACACACACACTGGAAAGGTGCAGGACAGCCGTCACCTCTGAAAGCAACAGCTGTCTGACAGCCATGCGGCTCATTTCAGTGCCAGTGCAACATGTAGCAAACATACTCAAAAAGACCCAGTTAGTGTTTGGAAAGAGTGCAGCATGACTAGCCTTGCATGAAGCTGGGATTGTTAATGAAGCAGCTTTAACGTCACCACTTTTATACTCATCCAGGGCAACGAGGGTCGAAACCGTTCAACAAGACTGTTACTGTAACTCAGAGGCCTAACCTGAAGACTTCCTGCTCCTACGCGGTTACATGCTGGCTCACCTTCATTAGTACAGTGTACACAAACCTTAACGGGTACAGTCTGAACAAGATTTCACAAATCCAAAAGAAAAACTTCTCAGGAACCGTATCCACCTTTTCGCTGCTTTTCGTGTAAAGAAACGGAGGAAATGTTGACTGTCCGACAAGGCACACGGGTCACTAAAGAGCTGGTGTGTGTGTGTGTGTGTGTGTGCAACCCTGCTGGTTCCTTCCATGTGCTTCTGTGACTAGATCAAATATGTGAAGGCTTGAAACTGTTTCTGCTCTTAATGTCCTCGTTGCACAGGAACAGCTGGAGTTGCCCGCTGCTGCTGGAAGGGCAGGAATTAAGATTCCAGTCTGTTCTAAGGTCATTACTGTATCTAATACCTCTTTATTCAGTCTTTCCGTCTTATTAAGCAACAGAGAAACTCAACAGTATTCTGAACAATGCAGATGTTACTTAGCTGTGTGTTGAAAATGACTGTGTCCATATAAGCTACTGTAGGGGTCGCAGTGCCAAGGAAGACCTTTTCTGTCGTTTCTGTCGTAAAACGATGCTTCATGAAAATTAAAGACTGTTACTGCATGTTAGTGAGGAGCTGCTGTAAAGGGTGTGAAACTTCCCCGTCAGACGCGGTTTTTTCATCGGTGTCCCGGGTGTGGCGGAGGACTGTTGGCAGCCGTGCACAAAGCTGCAGCTCTGTGCTGAATGTTGTGTCTGTGCCGCTCTGCTGAATCTGATGCTGTGTATTCATCTGCACAACAATGCTGAAACATGCATGTGTTAAAGTACTGTACCGTCAGGCTTCATGTGAACAATGTTGTGCACTGTGATTTAGGATGGTTCACCATCAGGTTTCATTACAGATTTTTACTGTAGTTGTGAACAATTTAGAAAATTCAATAAAATGGGAATTTCAATTATTGAAATGCTCATCAGTGTCTGTTGATTGATTACAAATGAAACAGAAAAGTCCTAAAGAAACCTCAAAACTGGAGTCGCTAACTGACGACTTTAGTGGCATCATGTCGGTTTTCATGTGTAAGCAGCATTTCCTCAGCTAACCGTTTAAACCGTTCTAGTTTAGATGTTAGTCAGCAGAAATGTGGGAGTGTGAGTCCTATGTGGTGGGTGGGGGTGGGGGGAGCACATTATCCCGCTATATTCCTTTTCCAAATCAAATCATGACTGTTCGTCTGTGAAGATGTTGGCGTAAGAGCTCGGTGTGTTCGTCTCATCAAGAGCATCTCCTGATGGGGCCAATCAGATTTGTAGCCCACATGTCTCAGTTCAGCACTAAATGTCACACAAAAAACAATCTGATTTAATTTAAATCTAAATCAAAGGTCTCACTAGTCGACCAGGTTGTCTTTTGCAGTCGCTCTGCTGCGGATCAGCCAGGGGTTCATCATCACTGAGCTGATTTATGACTAAATTCATGGACAGATGGACCAGAATGATCGTAAAATGACGTGGAGGTTGTGTGAAGGCACAGCAGCAGAAATTACACTTCATCTTTATTAGGTAAAAATCAAACTGCATTTTATGCTCATTCATTAAAAATATTCATTAGTTGTACAATTACAATACCAAAACAGAATTAATGATTTTTAACTGACACTCAGCATATTGCACAACTGTTACATTATCCTAAATCCATTATTTACTTCGAGATTGTTGATGAATCCTGGAAAAAAAGTTTATAACAACAATACAGAACGTCTCAAAAAGCCCTAAGAGGGTGTTTCTGTAGTTTCCAGTGACCTGAGGCCAGATACTGAGGTCATCACCGCTCATTTGTTGGGAGAGCTAAACCAACCTTACCGATCTTCCCGACGTAACGGAGCGGCACGGGACCTGAGCCCTTGGCTTTATGTGGTTTCTGCTGGCACCGGTGTTACTTCTGACATACAAACATGCTCTTTACAGGAACGTGCCAAGAGGCCACAAAACTCCTTAACTTACAACACAATAAATAGATACAAAAACATGTAAACTATGCATAGGTTTGTGCAGACAGCATCATGTGAGCAGCAGCGCTCACTACTTCAACATTGCATTGTGGGTTATTGTAGGCAGCGGAAGCTAAAGCAATCATGGTAAAACTCCTTTTTTGGTCCCAAGGAACTGGCAGCATGGAAAGGACTGCATCTCCAGTTCTACTAACATGTTGTACACCTTTCTGGTAACTGAGCATCAGCACGACACCACTCGACTCCAGTGCTTGGCGCTGGCATCTGCTTATGAAACCAATGGACTACAGCAACACTGTTGGAAGATTTGTTTACATTCTTCTCGGCTTAAAGCGAAAACCAAACTAGCTTCCAGATCATGGAACCGGCTGGAGTCCGCGTGAATCCAACACCGGTTTCTCTGTCTGGAACAAGACCTCTTCATTGTTAAGACCTTTTTGTCTCAATAGTTACTGCTTGCTTTGCCCTTTTGTGGACTTCTTAGAATAAACTTCTCACCCAGAACTTCTACGTTTACCAGTTAAACCACTAAAACACCTGTCAGTAACATCTGCCTAATGCTCAGGCCTGTTAGCAGCGTGTTGCTGCTCTGGAACCAGCTCCATCCATCTCTGGAAGTTTTCCGTTTTCACACCACCTCATCAGACTCCAGGCCGTACTCCTCATACAGCTCATCCAGGATCACCAGCTGCTTCTCCATGGCGGGCAGGTACACTCCCAGGTCATTGTGCATGCTGCTGGTGAAGTCGCTCCTCAGTTCGTCACCTTCTTGTGACACTAAGGCGGCGGTGAAATTTTGATAAGACGGGGCGGCTCGCAGCGCCAGCTGGGAAAGATATAGGGAGGACTCATTTGTGACATGTCAACACTTTTAGAAAGGAGCAAGGATCTGCGTTCAGAAGTACTTACAGCAAATACACCTCGTACTACCCACCCATGGTACTGCCGAAGAGTCTTCCCGTAGGCGTTATCTGTGTGGAACAATGCATTACACACTGCAGACTGATGGAAACGGAGAAACTGAGAAGCAGGTTTACTTAGTGCAGCCTGGATGTCCTGCTCCCCAGCGTTGACCTCTGACAGAAACTCCTTGAGGAACTTCAGGCCTCGTCTGAGCCACAGCAGAGCTTCGGTTGCAGAGTTTCGTACCTGAGCCAGATTCATCTGCACCTCGCTCAGCACGATGGACTGCAGCGTGGGGAAGCCATCAGGGTTCGACACCAGCTTCTGGTGGATCTTCTGTGGAAATTTAGAGAAGGCAGAAAACCAAATGAACATCTGGTACATTTGCCTATTTTTATAGTGAATTTAATAACATTTTACTTGAGAAATGTTCTAAATGTCTAAGAACAAAAAACAGAACTGGGCGTTCATACCCACACATCCCCAAACTCCACATACTGAGATGTTAACAGCAGCGGCGTGTTTCATTATTCCTATGAAGGTGTGCACTTACCTTAATATTCCCAACAAAATCCATTTTAACTGGAGCAAAAACTGTGGATCCCAGCTTGTCTGAGAAGAGAGAACCCGAGATCACTTTGTTGCTGCTTCTGGGTCACTTTAATCTGATTCAGAAGTGACGACAACACACGGATCTTACAGCAGATGAGGTGGCGGGTATGAACTTTTTATCCATTTGAAAACAGGCAAATAGGTTTCATGGTAAAGTTAGGTTGTATACTACACGTTTAATCAGAGCCAAGGTCAAGGTCAGGCTCGTTAGGATCAAATGTTGAACCAAAGTGCTTCACAGAAAATATCGACTTTACAACCAATAAGAATGTAAAGCTTAAAATACACAAACAAACAAACAAGTTATAACAAACTAAGATTTTAGGTTTTGCTAAACTATCTAATAGGTCTGCAGTGATGATATCATCGGTTCTGAAGTTCGAGCAGACCAAGCCTCGATTTTACACACGCCAACCCGGCGCCGTGGAAAACGGTCCAGTTAAGTAGCGCTTGTTGCATCAGCGGCTAATTCTGAAGAAGAAGAAGCTTTAGCCGACGAGAAGTTTTATTTCTGCTAAAAGTAACAAACTGGCCCTCGTGTTTGCTCAGCAGGCTGTGAAACAGCCCAACAACTATTCTAGTTATCATCACTGACCCAAGGACGTGGCAGCATTCAGTTTAGTCGATTAGCAAAACAACAACAGAATAACAATACAAACAGCTAAACAACATAACAACTATGTTTCACATTCATTCAGACACAAGTCCAAAAGTAGATGAAAAATGGTTCAACTGATGTGATTAGGGTGTGTGTTTACGCAGCGACCTGAGGGTCTGAAAGGCACTCACTAATAAAATGTATTATTATAACTATTAAGACTGAATGTTCACAGGAAGAAACGTTAATGTAAGAGTAACACAAACACAAACCTGCTGAGCACACACATGCATATGTATGCAGTTTTTATCAGTAGAGCTGACTGCAGGTTGCTTAGCAACAACTCATCACCGAGAGCATGAGCTGATTACGCAGCAACTAAATACAACTGAAGCCAGTGTTTCACAAGTGCCACAGAAAACAACGCAGAGCAGAAAAGTTTGACGTGGAAAACGAGACGTAAAGCCACCACTTTGTTACTCACAGGCAACATGAATGAAATGCAAGCAGGTTTTAAAGAAGCTGAATGACCAAAGATGCAAGAAGTTGTGATGAGAAACAGGAAGGAGGAAGCAGGATTGGGAGAGGAGACAACGTAACTGGCCTACCTAATACAGGCACTATTGCATAGCATGAGTCCAAAAACTGTTGCGTAGGAATACCATTGTCTTCATCCAGTCTTATATCACTAAATCTAAAAAAAAAACAGATCCATACAGGAGGAGATGAGTTAGGCACACCATGATTACTTTTTATTTGACTACATCTAAACAGAAGAAATGGGTACAGGCATCACAACAATTCACACAAAACCTCCTGCAGCTGTTGAGCCGACACGCCGCCGTCCTCATCGCTGTGCTGATACAAGATACTCAGCTCAGGAATGAGGAGGGCAGAAAACACGCTGCACTCTAGCGTCGTAACAACAAAGCACAATATCAGATGATGCCTGTTGTGATTAAGACAGGAAAACACTAATAAAAACACTTTGAAATGGTTCAAATCTGATGATTCACTCTGCAATACTGCACGACTAAGTCTCTGTAGCTTAAACCGGTCGCTGGTAACAAACAATGATGCCGTCGGAGCAGAACACCTCACGTCTCCTAAGAGACGGAACCCTCCTGGGTGGCGTTGTCATACCTGTGGCTCATTGTGCTGAAGAAGGTCTCCACCTGCTCTAATTCTGCTGCTGGATCTCTGGGAGGCGCGTCTTCTTCAGACTTCTCTTCACGGTGTGAAATGTCTTTCTGTTGTCCCTCACATTGGACAGCATTCTCTTGACTTTGGTCCACATTATGCAGCTGTCGTTTCTCCTCATCAGTAGCTTCCTTCTCTTCGTCTCCCTCTGCTGATTGGTTGTAGTGTTCACTCTCAGAGGTATTCTGGGTAGTGTGTGCAGGACGGACTTGTGCTTCATGATCGGAGCCCATCGACAGATCGATGTCTGTAATAAAAAAAAAAAAAGACAAGACAAGAAGAGTGAATTTTTCTAAGATCCAAAGTTTATTTTGCAAGAATTTACTAAATTTTAGAAAACCCCAAAAACGTGTTTGTTTATTTTAAAGATCCCAAAGATTTCTTTATTTCCAGTGTTCCATTTGGGCGCTCTAGTGCTGATGAAAGTGCATTAACACTGATACTTCATCACTTTATATTACAACAAGAGGGAATCCAATGTAAAAAAAACCTTTTGTCGTTTCGTCGTCGTCTTCCTCCGCTTATCAGGGTCCGGGTCGCGGGGCAGCATCCCAACTAGGGAGCTCCTGACTGTCCTTTCCACGGCCTAAACTACACCCATCACAGAAAATCCACGTCTTCTTATCCAATAATGTAAAGAACGTTTATTTGAAAGGGAAACGCACAGAAAGCCCCAGGCCCTGATGGCATCTCCTGCCACTCGACAGCACTGCGCTGAAGAGCTGTCCCCAGTGTTCACGAGCATTTTCAACTCCTCACTAGAAGCATCTCATGTGCCTACCTGCTTCAAGATCTCCACCATAGTCCCTGTCCCCAAGAAGCCAAGGATCACTGGACTTGATGACTACAGACCTGTGGCTCTGACATCATGAAATCATTCTGATTGGCTGCACCTGGCGGTAAGGCGTTTCCTGTTTCCTGCTTTCAGTGTTGCACTACATGTAGCGGTTTGGTGTTTGGGGCTCGCTAAAGCTGATTTAATTTCTCTGTAACAGGATATCTCAGAGTTATTGTAGCACTAAAGCACGCTAAAACACACATTTTCTGTTGTTCCACCTAGCTTTTAGGGAACCATTTGAGTTCGCACGCAGTTTATTTGGTGTTGAACAGTTTGCTCGTCCAGTTAGCTTAGCCTCAGCACGGCTATGGCTACTTCTGTCTCTGCTTCTCCATCTCCTATCTCTTGCTCTCTGTGCCAGATGTTTAGTTACTCCTCTGTCTCCTTTAGTGATAATGCTACGTGTAATAAATGTAGCATTTTTGTAGCTTTGGAGGCGAGGTTGTCGGAATTGGAGTACCGGCTCCGCGCTGTTGAAAAACCCATAAACAGCCGTAGCTGCTTAGCTAGCGCGGGGCTAACTACCTCAGAACCACCCTCAGCAGCAATGACTTCATGGGATTTTTTACAAGTAAAATTAATTCTATTAGAAACAAAATCTTTAGCATTCTCCCTAATGCGATTTCTTCTTCCTCAGTAAGTGAGGCAGCTTCAGAGGTGACTGTAGAACCTCATCTGTGCTTGAACCGTTTTGATCCAGTTGAGCTTTCAGAGTTATCAAAAATATTAGCTTCAGCTAAACCTTCAACTTGCATTTTGGATCCAATCACAACCAAATTATTTAAAGATGCATTTCCTTTGGTTACTGCCCCCATTCTAGATATAATCAATCTATCCTTAGTAAATGGATATGTACCACAGGATTTTAAGGTTGTTGTAATCAAACCTTCACTTAAGAGGTCTTCTCTGGATCCAGATGACCCAATGAATTATAGACCAATATCTAACCTTCCATTTTTATCCAAAGTCCTGGAGAAAATAGTGGCCATCCAAGTATGTGAGCATTTAAACACTAATGCTCTGTTTGAGGAATTTCAGTCTGGTTTTAGAGAGTATCACAGCACTGAAACTGCATTAGTGAGAGTTACAAATGACATTCTCATGGCCTCAGATAAGAATCTTGTGTCTGTTCTAGTCTTGTTAATCTCAGTGCTGATTTGACACAGTTGATTACAATGTTCTTTTAGAAAGACTTGAACATGTTGTAGGGATCAAAGGAACAGTGTTAGGCTGGTTTAAATCCTACCTGTCTGACAGATTTCATTTAGTAAACGTACATGACAAATCTTCATACTCCAGGGTTACTTGCGGAGTACCACAAGGTTCAGTGCTTGGACCAATTTTTTTTACTATAAATTTGCTCCCAATTGGTAAAATCATTAGACAGCATGGGATAAACTTCCACTGTTATGCTGACGATACTCCGTTATATTTATCCATTAACCCTGATGAACCTAATCGGTTGGGTAGATTACAGGCTTGTCTTGAGGACATAAAAAACTGGATGATTCTAAACTTTTTGCCTTTAAATCAAGACAAGACGGAAGTTCTCATCTTTGGACCAGAAATCCAGAAAAGGAAATTGCTTGGCCAATCGCCTGACCTTAATGGCATTACATTAATCTCTGAGAACAAAGTAAGGAACCTTGGTGTCATCTTTGACCAGGACATGTCATTCAAATCCCAGGTTTCACAAGTTTGTAGGATTTCCTTTTTCCACCTTCGCAATATTGCTAAGATTAGAAGCATACTTTCCAGGAGTGATGCTGAATAACTAGTTCATGCATTTATTACATCAAGACTGGATTACTGTAATTCATTACTCTCAGGAAGTCCACAGAATGTAGTTAAAAGTCCAGCTTGTCCAAAATGCTGCAGCTAGAGTTCTGATAAGAATTAAAAAGAGAGATCATATCTCTCCTGTCTTAGCTTCCCTACATTGGCTACCTGTTACATTCAGAATAGATTTTAAGATCCTTCTTCTCACATATAAAGCTCTTAATAATCAAGCTCCATCATACATCAGTGATCTGATTGTTCCATATGTTCCTAACCGAGCACTTCGCTCTCAGACTGCAGGTTTACTGGTGGTTCCCAGAATATCTAAAATTAGGATGGGAGGCAGATCTTTTAGTTATCAGGCTTCTCTCCTGTGGAACCAGCTCCCAGCTTTAGTCCGTGAGGCAGACACTTTGTCTACTTTTAAGACTAGGCTTAAAACGTTTTTATTTGATAAGGCTTATGGTTAAAATCTGATGTTAGCCTAAATCTGGACAAGTGGGGGAGTACAGGGAGGTGGAGTGTACAGTCGGTAAAGACGGCTCTCCCTTGCCCTGACTCCAACATGCCTCCATCTAAATAGGATAGATTATCCAGAGTTATCTCTGTAGTTATGCTGCTATAGAGCTCCGGACCCCACGTGACTCTCAGTTAGTGGACGCCATTTTGGCATGCAAAAAAGGTAAACAAACACGGATGTAACCATGAACATGAACGGGATCCGCTTGGATTTTACTTCGGAGTTTACTTCACACTTTAAAACAGAAGAAATCGTTTTATATAGTCAGAAATTAAATAGACTAAACATCTCCGACCCTTACCGTGCCCCTGGGATACTTTTTAAAAACGCCAAAAGCTGTCGGAGCGGACTTCTTACCGGCACAACACCGGACCTGACCGGGGAACCCCTTGGGATTTACCCGGAGGAGCTGGCTCCGGCGGCTGGGGAGAGGGAAGTCACGCTACTGCCCCCGCGACCCGACTCCGGATACGCGGATGAAAATGGATGGATGGACGGACAAATAACAGATTTACACGTAAGTAGTCTCGGTGAGACAGATAATAGCAATCCAAAGTGCTTTTTATGTGTGATCTGACAATTGATCAACCATTGCTTAAAAATTAAATACAGCTTAGCCGGTTAATTGCTGTCATCATAAAACACGGAAACGGCAGCACGCAAAAAACACAAGGCAACGTTTTACGTGATGTTTACTTGTTGCTATGAGTAATAAGACAGAAAAAGCCACGCCAAAATAAGTTTAGGAAGCCCACTAAGAATCATAATAAAAGCATTTAAAATAAATACCATACACAGTTGAGGAAACGTTGGTTTAAGTACCTGATATGAAGAAGTCGCTGCATACGCGAAAACCTTTACTCTCGGGATCCCACAGCTTCATTTTAGCCCGGTCACTAGTGCGTTTTATTACAATGATCCAACGTTTGCGGCGCTCCGGATCTCGGGGAATCCTGTAGATGGCTCATTCCTTATGTCGTCCGCATCTGTTCTGCATCCTGGGGCACAACAGGAATCTACCATATTTCCCGTTTGATTGAGTTTTCTGACAATAACAAATAGTCCAGCTGCCGGCTTCTGCATGCCAATATGGCGCCATTTCGATTTGAACTGTTGCATGCCGGGAGAAGTGACGTCAACTCCCGGAGCTCTATAGGCTTAGACTGCTGGAGGATACACTGACCACTTTTCACACTCTACTGCTTTCTTCTACAATCTGCTCTTTAACTGTATTACTTTCTGCAATTTCAGCTGTTAACTTTATTTTCTCTCCAAGTGTTTTTCTCCCCAGAAGAAGCTACAACGATGTTCTGCTGAGCTGTGGTGGCCTCATGGAGGGGGCCATCGTCTAGCACACTGCTGCTAACCACTAAAACATTCTCTCTCTCCTGATAATAACTTTTAGTTTCCTTGAAGTTGGATGTGCTACTACTAGTTTATCTGTTTAATTATAGATCCACTAGGACAAATACAATGAAGTTTATCTCACCAAATAGAATATTTACTAACAAATCACAATGTAACCATAGAAACACTACTTGGGTGTGTGTGTGCGTGTGTGTGTGCGTGCGTGTGTGTGTGCTCTGTCTTCTCGATCCCCAGTGAGTCGTGGAGGATGGCTGCTTATACTGAGCCAGGACTCTCTGGAGGTTTCTTCCTGTTAAAAGGGAGTTTTCCTCTCCACTGTCACTTTATGCTTGCTTAGTATGAGGATTGCTGTAAAGTCACTGACACTAGCCAGTAACTCGATGCAACCTGCTGGGTTCCTTATATAGGAAACATCATTTCTGATTGGCTAAATGAACTGACCTTGATTGGAATGTTTATTATGTGAAGTGCCTTGAGACGACTCTTGTAGTGATTTGGCGCTTTATAAATAGAACTGAATTGAATTTGAGCACCTAGTTCTCCCCCACCTCCACCCTCCTGGACCCCCTGCAGTTTGCCTACAGAGCCAGCAGGTCCGTAGATGATGTCATCAACATGGCTCTACTTCATCCTGCAGCCTCTGCACTCCCCGGGTACCTATGCCAGGCTTCTGTTTGTCCTCCCAGACAGGTGTTTTTCCAGGAGCACTCAGCCTAAACCAGCTCTGTACAGCATGGTTTGAGTCCGCCCATCGGAGTGTGGTTTTGTTCCCATGCCAGCTCCATGATAGAAAGTGGGTGCACCCCTCAAAGGTGCAAGGGGAGGGGGGACGCGGCAGTTGTGGGGGGTGTGCGCTCCATTTTTACTCACGACAAAATAACAAGACGGATCAGTAAACAGTGTAAGGCAACTAGCGTGCTCCACAGAAACACAACCCAGCTGATAAATGGTGGTGTTGCTGGACATTTCGTTCAGTTTTATGGCTTTTTGTCAGACTCTGAACCAGGAAGTGGCTGCAGGCAGTGAAGCAGAAGGCAAGAAACTCCGGAGCAGCCAGTGACTCCGCCCCCTAGCCAATCAGCAGCCAGAATTACGATGCCAGCCCGACCGCACTTCCAACCACGAGTCTGTCAAGCTTATCAAGTTTGCAGACGACACCACCGTCGGACTCATCTGACGGGGATGAGTCAGCCTACAGAATGGAGGTGGAACGGCTGGCGTCGTGCTGCAGCCACGACAACCTGCTGCTAAACACCCAGAAGACAGCGTGGTTGTTGTGGACTTTAGGAAGCACAAAGTGGACATTGGGCTGTGCAAGTCAGATCACAGCTGACCCGTCTTACCCTGGACACAGTCTCTTTGACTCGCTCCCATCTGACAGGAGGCTCAGATCCATTTGGACCAGAACCTGTCGCCACAAGCACAGCTTCTTCCCCTCTGTGGTCGGACTCATGAACGACAACTGCAGAAGTGCCGAGACCAGCTGCTTTGTTTCAGTCACCTGACCCTGTGTTGGGTTAGAACCTGAACGGACCCGCTCTGACCACTGACGTGTATAAAGTAGCTGCTTCTCTAATTATGGATTCCATATTTTATGGTTTCATGGTGTCATTTCTTAATTCCTTTCTTGCACCAAGTAGAGCAGCAATTTCCTCATGTGTAAAACAATTGAGATTATACAGACTTGTTATGTCACTTGTGCCTTTGGCTTCATGTTTGTTTCCTGTAAAAACATCTGCTGTTACTGCATTTGCTCAGAAATAAAGACTAGTCCAGGGGTAGGCAACCGTGGTCCTTGAGAGCTGCAGTCCTGCTTGTTCTCCAACCATCTCTGATGTTCCTGCTGTGGATTACCTGGATCAGGTGTGTTCAGCCAATAAGAAGCTGCAAGTTCATGCATGGCTGGAAAGCATGTAGGACATGCTCCCTGGGACCAGGGTTGCCTACCCCTGGACTAATCGCATCATCATTATTATTATGTTTATGACTCCTATCATAACAATTTAAAGGATCTCGCAAAAATGTATCTTTTCTTCCTTTTTTTGTTAACACTTTTTCATTTTTTCAGCTTTGGATTGAACTTTAAAACTTGCAGTTTAGCTTGCTTTTAGCACCCCCTAGTGTCCGTTTGTAGAAGCAAAACTATCTCCTCGCTGTGTGTTCGTCTTTTTAACACCTTACTCTAACAGCTGAAACGTCTCCTAGCGTTTTTAAGTAGGGTTAGGGTCTAGAAGAGCGATTCATCACCACATTAAACTACTCAGCTGTGTTCCTGATCTAAAACACGCAGGAAACGTGCTGAAGCCAGGCAGCAGCCTCAGCTCAAGTTCTTCCAAGTCCCAACAGACCGGATCGGCAATGGTGACGTTACAAGTGTGATATTCTGGCCACGGGGGCGATAGGGGCTGGGTGGCCTTTCAATAAACCTGTAAATGGTCATTTTAGCACATACTGGCTCAAGAAAATGATTTAAAAATATGAAAAGGTTGCAAATTGTCCTTTTAATGGTGAGCCAGCTCTTTCACAAAAAAGGAAGACAACAAAAAAAAGACTGCTGATGATCCCTGCGTGGGAAACTAGTTCCTTGTATGAAAACGCTAAAGCATAACGAAACGTCTGACTTGTGAGGAAAACAAAATACTTTTTACGACTAAAGACCTGACCGACCTGATGGGGAGGGAGGTTGCTCTGGTCCGCCTGGCTCGTCTGGTCCCTCCACTCCAGAGTCCAGCCTCTGGTTGTCTTGTGCAAATGCTTTTCCTGAGGTTTCACTCAAATCTCTCCACCTGGGAAATGAGACGATTCAGATCAAAAGCACTGAGACTTCTATCTGCACACGTTTACTTCAGGTATCCCACTGAGGGGGAAGGTAGAGAAACCTCCTAATCAGCAGGTGAAAACACAACTGGCTCTTGCCAGAGGGGGTTGCACGTACAGCATGAATCATGAACTGGACAGTTGGAAGAATCTACACGAATCAGGAGACTTCCCTTAGAACACTGACCTTCTCTTGTGTTTCATCCACCTATTCTACATTCTGGGCTAATAAACCGGTTTCTACACACTTCTGCCACCGTTTACCATCTGACCAACATGAGGTGAGATGTCGTACACTAAACAAGAGAAATGTTTAAGCTAAATGCCCGACAAGTTGGAGAGATCAGACAAGAACAAAGCAGGAATGAGGACAAGGCTTTTTATGGAGACCTGACTCTGGAAGCAAGAGGAGCACGTGATCTAGCATCAACCGCTCTAAAGCAGCCTTCTGATCTTCCTCCAACTGTTCACCAACTTCTAGACTACTTGGGCCATATAGAAACGACCCTACTGTAGAGATTTAGCCACTCTGGATAGATCAGGTCATTTTATTTATCGCATCGGCCGGCAGAACCCTGCAGCAGAGCTGATTTAAAGTCGGGCACATCCATGGATATCCAGATAAGAAATCTCAATGCCCAGTCTCAGAAATGAGGGCTTGTTGCTAGATGCTGCTGCCAAGTCCACTAAAAGATTTTATTTTATTGTTTACATGAAGATATTTCTCAGTTAGATTTTTTATACTCTACACTTGTTTTTATTTCATTTAAATGTGTCTTTATGTTCCTGATAAACAGCTGCTTAATAAATGCTCTAAAACATGACTCCATAAACTATTCCTTAGACATTACAGTGAACTGATATTTTATTTTATTCACCTGTTTTGTACATTTACTTGATACGATTACTGACTGGTTTGATTAACTTTGGTTAAATGTTTGATTTTAATACCGAGAATAAAACTAAAATTCAACAGGTTCAGAAATGTTGTGCATTAACTTGTCCGTCCCATTTCTGCACTAAACAAGGCGGAAAATATCTAAATATCCGCCTAAAAAAGATCAGCAGCACACATCGGCCGTTGGCTGACCGCGATGACAGCATCAGCAACAGAGACCCCACATCGGGCGGTCTCCATCTCCACTAACGACCAACTCCTTCCCTCTAATGTTGGATCTATTTAAGACGTCAAATCACCACACCCTCAATCTGAAGTGACTGAGCTCCGCAGCAGGGACTTTAGTTTTCTAACTGTAGCCAGTCCACGACACACACTTGCTGCACGGTAAAATTTAAAAATACATACTGCTCTCCATGGTTCTGCTTCAAATGATTGCCGGGTTTAATCTGTTGAGAGAAGCAACTGTTAACACGGTCTCGTACAAACACGGCTAGCTGCACAAGTATGACATCACCGTGAGGTGCAGCGTACCCTCTGGGGTTTGATGGCTGCTACAGGAGGAGTTCCTGGTGAACTGTGTGTTGTCACATCTGTACTAAACGTTCGATTTGCTATCTGCATGCATTCCTCCAGAGTCTTGAGGAACGTTGTGCACGTTGACTTCACCATGTTTCCAGTGTCTATGCCAGTCTGAAAAGACACAAGGACACATTAGATTAAAACCCAACGTGCTGCTCGTCTTCTCCATTAGCAAGTAAAAGAATACAGGAATTTCTAGTTTGGCTAACTCCTTACTGCAGTTTTACACCATCAGCTTCTCTAATTTCATCAGCTCAACAAAACCTTACCTCCGCCGTTTCTCCTAGTTCATCATTCTCCTTGATCTTGTTTACTTGTTGGAGCAGAATGTCACAGTACAATCTGAGCTCTGACATCTTAGTCTTCAGTGCCTCTGTGCTCTCCTGAAGCTCTATTATCAAACAGCAAATTAAAGAAAGTTAAAGAGGTCAGGGATTTCCCTGATCAGACGCCCAAGTGGGGTAAGCACTATCAGCATTTTGATAAAGTCACTTCTCACGACACCGGTTTTATCCTGATGCCACCGCTGTGATAACAAAACCAACACAAAACCTTCACAACCTCTGATGAAGAAAGGGGAAAATAATGATAATAATAATAAAAGTACCTTTTAAAATGTTAGCACATTACAGTGACTTATGCAGCGTGCCACAAGAGTTTGACTAAACCAGTACAGAACAAAATAAGATGCAGAAGGACTTGTAAAAACCTCATCTACTGTGTGCAGGCTTGCATTTGGGAATCAGATCCTGGAGAAACATGTCGCCTTTTCCCTTTCAAATCTGAGCGTTTATTAGGAAAGCAGCTAAATGAATGATGCTTTTTGCTTTGGTCTAAAAGTAAAGTGACTTGGTGACTGTTTTAGGTTTCATCTTTGCTAAGGAGTCTGATACGCAACATAGTGATTCATTTTTGCTTCATTCTTACGTGAATCAGGTGTCTTGTCAGTGGACAAACAAGCACCCCAAAGGTGAATAATTGTATCTAAATGAGTGGCAAAGGAAGACGAGCTGGTTTGAAGTTTTTTTTAATGCATGATTTGAGACTTTTCTGTGGTTCTGTATGACCTTTACTTTACCTTGACAGGCTCACAACCATTCATCTGTAGCACCAAAGTCAACGTTACAGGAGCCTACTTACCCTTTTCTCTCTTGGTTCGGTTGTCAGTAAGGCAGGCTTTGGCTGTTCCCAGAGCCACCAGCCACTTTTGCCTCTCTGCTGCATTGATGGCTTTAAGGTAGAAGTACTGCTCTCCCGGTATGGTCAGGTCAACTCGCGTGGAGTCAGAGGAATGAACTAAAACACCAAAGACAGCGTCAGACTCAAACAGGCATCACAACGGGGCACAAATGACTCCAGAACTTCACTCACCTTGAATTTCACAAACTGATACTTTAATGCTGCCCTTGCAACCTTTCCACGCGTCTTCTTGAGAGTCGTAGTAAGACAAAGTACCTCCATCAAGCACGAACCAACGAGGCTGCCAACCTGTAAAACAGACAAACACGGATTACAACCTTGCTTTAAATGTTTTTAATCAAACAGAATCAGTTAGAAAAGGTTGACAGCGAAGGGCTAGTGTGACTAACATAAAGACAGCTAGCTTTCAGCTGCAACTAATTAAATCAATTACAATGACAGATGGTGAAAACCGGTTACGTCTGCCTTTAAAACACAAACACTATGCTTAAACAAGTCACCTGCCAAGATAATAACGATACTAACTCATTTTAAAGTAATAAAATCTGATAATCATGGAGCTGAGTAGCTAGCATTAGCTCGACCCTTTATCACGAATAAGTTAGCTTCCAAGAAATCTCTCAGAGCACAAACACGCCGCCACCGAGGGATAAACTTACCGCTAATGTAATTTGTCCATTTATACAGCACACCTTCCATTATTTTTACGTGTTTTCCCTTTCATTACTTGTTTATCATAACGAGACGTGCGACACAGCTGATTACAGCGACTCCATCGGGTCAGAATGGAATTTCCGGAGGAACGTAATCGACTTTGTGCACGAACTACGTAAAGAAAGACACGTAAAACCTTTTGTGAATAAAGCTCTAGCCAATCATGGGAGACATTTTCAACGCTTCTCTTGCTTACGTCATGGACGTTAGGTGTTTTGGGGCGTAACTTATGATGAAGAGCACATTGATTATCCAATCACAAGACAAATATTTAACAAAGGCGGGACTTTTGTCATAATTAACCAATAGTGGCAAGAGGAGGGCGGATGGATGAAAATGAGCAGAATCCGTTCGAGAAGCTGAGCTGCCACGTAAGAAACTACTGAAAATAACAGTCTAGGCTTTACTCACACAGATGATAACTTTTTGCATCTTACGAAGACTTCTGATAGTGTCTTTGAAATGATGCCCTTTTCTACTTTGTTGATATTATCTGTAATATTTGTTTTTGTCACTGGGGGAAAACTTCCCGATCCTGAAGTTAAAATTGAGGTGATGCACAAACCCCTCACGTGCCAGCGCAAGTCTAAACATGGAGACATGCTTCTTGTTCATTATGAGGGGTTTCTGGAGAGCAATGGAACCATGTTCTTTTCCAGGTAATAAATTATTATGACACACAATCCATCTGCTGCATATCTGCCACAGCCGTTTACACAGAGGTTTTGATCTCTCACGTGGCTCACATGTTTGTTTGTTTATAATTGACTCTAAACTGTGACTATCTTATGACAGCCGCACCAGTGGGGACAAAAATCCCGTCTGGTTTACTCTTGGGACCCAGGAAGTGCTCAGAGGTTGGGACAAGGGTCTGCAGGGCATGTGTGCAGGAGAGCGCAGGAAGCTGACCGTGCCCCCATCTCTGGCTTATGGAAAGGAGGGAAAAGGTATCATAAACTACGTACAAAGCATGCATAAACAAATCATCACAAAGCCTTGAACACATTGGTTTGTTTACAGGTAAGATTCCTCCAAGCAGCACTCTCATCTTTGACATTGAGCTGATGGAGATCCGGAATGGTCCAAGGTCACACGAGACCTTCCGGGACATGGATCTCAATGATGACTGGAAGCTTTCCAAACAGGAGGTGTGGATTTCTGCTTTATTGCATTTCCTGTATCCAAAGTATTTAAAAATGAAGAAATCACAAGTACCCTTTTGTCCATAATTCCAGGTGAAAGAGTACCTGAAGAAGGAGTTTGAAAAGCATGGCTACGCACCTAACGACACTGAAAACCAAGTTATGGTTGATGACATCTTCAAAAACGAAGATGAAGATGAAGACGGTTTTATATCTGCCAGGGAATTCACTTACATACACGATGAGCTCTGAAAGGATTTTCTCTGCTTTGGATCACACTTTTAGGTCATTTAAAGAGTTTACCTCTGAAACTGTTTAACTAAACTCACGTTTTGGGCTTGTTGACAGAATTTATTATGTTTTCTGTAACTAATGAAAGAAAGCAGGATTTCTTAAGTTCAGTATCATGTGTAATGTATTTATTTGCATTGATAAATGTCACATCCCCTTTACTTAAGGTTGCTTAACTAAATATTTTTGGAAACATGCAGATTCATGGTCATTTCTCTACTATTCATCTTTACAAATGTGTTGCTTATGCACTTGGTCTCCATCTGTACATGTTTGCTCCTGCCACTAGAGGGCACTGTTGCATTTTATACCACATTATCACCCTGCCTCCATCTCTCAGATGCCTCCATACCGCCAATGCACCCCCCCCCCCCCCCCCCCCCGAATATGACTGACGTATTTTCTTACAAATTGGGAGTAGAGTCACGTATTTCACCATCCATCACAAAAAAATCTTATAGGGATACTGATGTGAGTCACTTAAATATATATATGTTCACATTAATATAATTTTCTTACTGCCTTTTAAATGCCATTGCTTGTTATTTAGAAACAAAGAGCCCTTGTAGCTCATGAACAGGAATCAATCACCTTTAGTCAAATATAATCGTAAAAGATGCAATGGCGTGGTGCCAAATTCCTTTTTTTAAAGACCAATCTAACCACTCTGAGAAATTCATTCCAGTCTCTTCTGTTTTCATCGTCAAATTCTTCTGCAGCATGTTGCTGACCATTAGCTGAGCCTCAAAGGGAAACCGATCAAAGTCTGATGCTAATGAGTTCACACAAACACCCGAGGATGCAACTGAAACAAAGTGGTGTGCAATCAGTTTCAAGACAGTCAATTAAAACTGATGTCACAGAAGGTGCTTGATGACCACACTTTGTGTTTCAACCTTTAGATGGTACAACCATGTCAGCAGGATTCTCAGGACCCGTAACGGATTTCTGAATGAGTGAAGCGGGAAGGGAACTCGTCTCCTGGTTTGTTGTTTTTCTTGTTCCTTGTTCCAGGAGTTGATCTGCGAAGGTTCCGCCCAGCACGCCAAACGTACGAGCAGAACCGGATCAGTGGGAGGAAAAAAGTCAAATCAAACAACAGACCACACTGCATTCAACTCAGGATTTTCAATCTTTACTAAAACATTATTTCATAAATTATTTTTCAAATGCAACTTTCACAAAAATACATTTTAATCAAAACAGATCTTTAGAAAAGACTCGATCATCACATTAAAGGAGCATGCTTGGCACAGGCAGCGACTTTGGCGGCTCTGGACGGTGTTGGTGTTCACAAAAGTTAACTCCTGCTGCTCTGCGTAATGTAACTGGCATTTAAAAAGTTTAAATAAAATACAAAACAAGACAGTGATATTTTATTTTACATAGATGCGCTGAAACGGAAGCACTTCCACTCTGGATAGGATGGGAAGCTTCTTGCTCCTCCAAACCTCCTTTTCTCTCACATATCATTAAATCTACAAACATTCTTCAGGAAATATTAGGGGAAAATACAAAACAAAACTAAAAATAAACATTTATCTTTAAACAAGACGCAAAAAGTGCTTCATTTGTTTCATTTTTGTACACACGTGATCTCGGGATATTTACAATTAAAGGATGCACATCGTCTCTCTTGAGTTTTGCTCACAAGATTAATTGTGACTCAGCACCAGGCTTCTGCTGAAAGGCTTCACACAGCACCATCCTTCTGACTGCACCTACACCAGGTAGGACCAGTCTTCAGATTACTGCACTGGGATCAGTGGGTGGAGCTAAAAAACTCTACACCTGTTTCCAATGCAAGGTGATGGACAGGTTTGTAAAGCTCACAGAAACAAGATGATGTCAAAAAGCTTCAACTAAAACCTTCGTGCAAGAAAGAAAAGTTTCAAGTTCAGTTTCATCACAAACTCTCAGAAGTCTCCACTTGGCTTGAGTGTCCTCCTTTGACTGAATAAATAACTGTGTCTTGTGTCTTTAGAACAAGACATCTTCATGCTCGACCATGAGCTGCACCACCAGTTTCTGCTGCCTCATGTCGTTCAGCGTGGTCAGGGCGCTCTGCTCCGGCGGCTGCATCAGAGTCGGGCCAAAGACGATGCCCAGGTTCTCCGCATTCATTAAATTGTCCCTTTCAAACGTTGTCACCCTGGAAGATAAGTTAGTAAAGTGTGTGAGGAGCTCATAATGAGGGCAAATGAAACCTTTCTAGTCTTTCTGGATATTTTACATTTTTTCAGCATTTTAAAGTAACTGTTTGCAAAAATGGTATGAAATTCCTGCTGGATGTGACTCTGGAAACGTTCATCTTTTCAGTCAGAAACGGGTTTATTGCCAAGTCAGCTGGTACGCTCAGAAGGAATTTGTTTTGGTGTTTGATGCAGGAAGCAATTAACGTGTTTGTTGATGCTGGTTGTATTTACACTTGTAAACAAACCTAGAAACCAGAGTGTAATGCAAATCTGACAGCTGTGGATAAATGTATGAAGTACAGTTGCACAAACTGTGAGGATATTTTTGTGATTGGAGCTCATCATCATCATCATCATCATCATCATCATCAAACTTTACTTCAAAAGCACTTTTAACAACATGAAGATTTCCAAAGGGCTGTTCGCTGCAGAAGCATGTGAATGTTTATGAAATAAGCACCGACTTGCCAGATAACAGATGATGCAGGTAAAACTGAAAAAGTAAAACCTTTAGACCAAAGCTGTTTGGCAGCAATCCACCTTGGTGTGTGATGGAAATCACTCAAAATAGCCTACAACAAGAAATGCCAACCGTACCAGACATGTTTCTGTTTTAAATGACTTCTGTAGACTTAAAGAGGAATGCAGCGAGAGCGGAAAAGGACCAACCTCTTGAGGTGAGCCATCAGGTAACGTAAGGTTTCGTAGTGTGCCGGGGGGAGCTGTAGCAGCGCCTCATGGATGGCCTCCAGTCGGGATTCAGCATTTGGAATTTCTGCACATCAGTAAAAAGATGAGCATCAAAGCACTGCAGAGTCGCACCGACATGGAAACGCCTGTGGAGGATCGCTTACTTGCAGCTTGAATGAATTTAGAGTACAAGTCAAACGTAATGACTGGAATGGGGAGGTCTCTCAAGTAGAGCTTCAAAGCACCAGTAATTATGTTGATGTCTGCATAGGCACTGGCACTGATGTCCGCCTTCTCACCGTCTGTTGTCATCAAGCAAATGTTGCATGAGTGAGACTCGAATATGAGTGTTATGGTATAAATCATTAAATGTTTGCACAGGGAATCAAAGCATTTAACTCAGAGACAGGTAAAGATGTTTGTAATCAACAAACCTCGATCAAAAGCAAGCCTCACGTCCTCTATGTGCTCGGAGAAGCCAGACACTCGGTAGAGACCTTCAGACTTCAAACCTGCAGCAGATGGTTGCTTTTCTCAGTGAAGTTTGCTAATAAACCACAACAGCAGATGAGATTGGGTGCACCCCACCTCTCAGCTCTATCTCCCGAATGCACATGTCCACCACCATGGGTCGCGTGGTGTTGTGAGCTTTGACCAGCGTGGTGAGATCACAACTGAACACCTTCTTGATCCTGCGCAGATCCGGCTGGCAGTCACTGGGAACCAGTTTGGAGCACTGCTTGTGTACATTCAGCCCACAATCTAATGGAGCACAAAAAGAGGGAGACGGAAAGATTAGCCCCAGACAGATGATAACACAATCGCCGCACCGAGCTAAAGACAGCAGTCCAGAAGCTTTCCCACAGCCAGAGATAAACTGGACTGCCAGGCAGCATAATGGTCCCAGCACGCTGCAGCAGGGGTCAGGTGGGGCGTGTCGGACAGCTGGCAGGACTGTGCGGGTTTCCTGATCACGCAGAAAAAGAAGACAACGAATGAACTGGAAGCAGTGTGAAGTTTGTCCTGTTTCCCAAAGCACATGAAGCATCTGATGATGCTAGCTTTTGCCTCTGGCTAATCAGAAAATATCTCAACAACAAACAATCTGTTCAGAATCAACATAGCCAGATCCCCCACATATGTGGCAAATCTCATGATGGTCTTAACATCTGCTTCATCTCATACATTTAACCAGTTATTACGTGTTGTTGGTATGTTAGATCGTAAAAAAGCGGAAGGTACAGTTGGAGACGTACGTGTGGAAGACTTATTTAATCATTTGCAGGGGTCTGTAGCCTCGTAAGTCATACTCGGGTGGAGAAAAAGCTCTGGTGCGCCTGATTCAGGATCTAGAAGGGAATCACATCAGAGGAGAGCTTCAAACAGGATTTGGAGTCTTATCTCCTGATATTTGGTCATCTCCCCTCTGATTGGATAACAGCAATAATAACATTTTATATTTTCTAATTATTTGGATAAAGGCAGGGGTGCGAGATGGTTGAGTAAACTTTATTTTCATACTTTACAATGTAGAGTGAAAATAAACGTATCTTTGTTAGCAAATTTTCTCTGTAATGAGTAACTAAAACAAAGCTGCGCTCAAGACTCACACAAGAACTTGAATCACATCCTGAAGTTGGCTACCACTCAGGATGTGACTTCTGATATCGATGTGCTGGAGAAAGCTAAAAGATGTAAAGTAAAATGAGTCAAATATACTTTAAAAGCTGCATGAAAATGATCTAGCCATGTGATCTGTAAGCTCTTTGAATCACTAACCAAGGAATGTTTATTTATTTATTTCACATTTTCAAGTACACTTCAGGTGTTGTACTTGTACTATTTTGGATACACTGTCCTCAGGCTCCAGCCTTGTTTTATATTGATAGTATTAAAACAAAGAAAACAATCTGAAGTTGTTTTTAATTTACCGGTCCGGCCCACTTGGGACTAGATTTCCCTCAATGTGGCCCCTGAGCTGAAATGAGTTTGACACCCCTGGATAAATGCTTTCATTCCTTTTCTTTATTTCAGTTGATGTTTTTCATCCTTGTAGAAGCACCTTTCTTTAGGGGAATTTCTTATTACTTACAGTAATATCAATGTTGGGTTTATATGTGTGTGTGTGTGTGTGTTTATATAGTGCTTTTCTAGGCACTCAAAGCACTTCCATTGTTCATGCACTCACACACTGCTGGTGATGCTGAGCTACCACATGGCCACAGCCACTTTGGAGTGGTCAGACAGAGGAGAGGTTGCCATTTGTGCCACTGGCCCCTCTGACCACCACCAACACAGGCAAGTTGGTTGAAGTGTCTTGCCCAAGGACACAACAGCAGAATACCCTGGCACGAGCTGGAATTGATCCTCCGAGGCAACTTGCTCTACCTCCTGAGCTACTGGTGCCCCTTTATTTTAATCAAAATTTGACTAAAGGTTCTAGGACAGCAGTAGATCAGGAGGTAGAGCAGGTTGTCCAGTAATCGGAAGGTTGCGAGTTCAATCCCGGCTCCCGTCAGAGAATTCTGATGTTGTGTCCTTGCACAAGACACTTAACCTGCCTTGCCCACTGGTTGTGGTCAAAGGGACCGATGGCGCCGGTGCTCAGCAGCCTCGGCTCTGTCAGAGCACCTCAGGGCAGCTGTAGCTACATCATAGCTCATCCCCACCAGTGTGCGAATGACTGATTGTGTTGTGAAGCACCTTGTAGAACCCTAAGAAGGCGCCATACAAATACAGGCCGTTTGCCATAATGATCTTAAAGGTGGGGATCATTTGTTTAATCAATACATTTGCAGTGGTCTGGTCACCAGAAGGAATGAAAGCCTTCCAGGCAGAACTTAGGGCACAAAAATCTCACAAGCCGTCTGCAACATCACAAACAGAATTTGGAGTCTTATTTCTTAATATTTGAACATTTTGTCCTAGACTGGTTAACAGCAACACGACTTTACCAGTCACCTGGGTGTTTTATCTCCACAAATACCACAAGCCTGGAGGAGTTCTACCGTGAAGTGAAGTTGCTAATGCTAACAGTTAGCTTAAAATAGCCTAGACGTCCGCTGCTGATTCCTGGACGTTAAAACAACAGCCTTCCCCGCCTTGAGTCAAGATGGGTGAATCCATGAACGCTAATTCACAGTGTGATGTAGATCTGTGAGGAATTTCAGATCCTGGTGTTTTGTGTCTAATTTCTATCAGAAGCTAATGCAGGAGATAGGTGTAGGAGACCGTTTTCATGTTCAGCCTAAAAGGAAAACTCTGAGTGACCGATAATAATCATAAAAAACATGACAAATGGTTTTTCAGTGAGCCAGACCTTTAAGTGTGTAAGTAGGAGTGTGTAAAAAAGATATGTCCCATTACTGGCTGCCCAGGTTTGTGTGATAATAATCCCATGGCTAACTCTCAATGAGGAAACTAAACGAAAAGAGAAACTTCTCTTGACAACTTAAGTGTTAAAGTGATAGTGTGTGTTTTCCCTTGCGATAAGGGGCAGTCCATACCTAAATCAGTGCAAGCAAGCGGTATTTTTGTGTTGGAGTAAGGCTGTACTAACGGAAGGCCATTAGGGTCAAAAATCCCAGGGAGTGTAACCTCCAGCAAACGACACATCAGACTCCCTTTCATCACTGGCCACGAGTGATGCGGTAAATGTGTAAGACAACATTTATGAATGGCGACAGTTTTGTAACTGCTGGCTACACAACAGCAAATGTGTTTAGTCCTCACAGGCTCCCGTAGAAGGGAACATGGCATCTAGTATGGGTCCAAGTCTCACCCAGAGACTTAGACCCACTCCCATGTATTTTAGATCCGATTTTCCTGGTTATATGTTACAAAGCCACCGACATTTCGAATAACTGGGCATCATTTAATTTATTTTCAACAACATTTCGATAGATGTTTCCAGAGAATAATGCTAAAAACTACACATTGTCACTTAAAAAAACCTCTTGTATGTGAATTACCCACACACTGAAACAAAAACATAAAATGAACATGAGGCTATAATCAACTTAAGCATTGAAACATGTTTTGTTTTGATTTTTATGTGATTTTTTTTGTCTAAATCTAATTTTTTTTTGTCACAAAAAACTTGAAAGTGATTCCATAGATCACAGAGCTTACCTGAGCAGCGGACTCCCTGGGCAATGAGACCCCACATGAAGTTGGCACAATACTCGCACCAGTGCGGCCCTCGAAACGTGTGCACCTGTAGTTCAAAACACATCAGGAAATAGAAGTCAATCAATGCCCAGTTTAATCTGAAAAACCTCCCCCTCTCTGATGCTCCGGGTCGTGATCTCAAACGAAACACCAAACAGGGACATAAGTGTATACGCACAGCAGATTAAAGGATTTATTACAATGTGTCTGGCATCTGTTGCTGGGCTATTTGATACTCGCAGGCAACCCCGGGAGCAGGGAGAAGTCAAAACAACAGATGTACGCCCACTCTGCACCCTTAGATCACACATACGTTCACAAACGAAGGCAGTTTGATTCATGCACGCAAACACACACACACACACACACACACACACACACACACACACACACACACACACACACACACACACACACACACACACACACACACACACACACACACACACACACACACACACACACACACCTTTAGTGGTGCTCTTAAAGGTATCAGTGAACTCCTGAGTGTGGAGAGAATGTGGCAGGTGGTGAGTGGAGGCCTTTTGTTCTGTTTCAAAGGAAACATGGACAAAAGGCCGGTGGTCATGATGAACTGCTTGTTAACTGAAACTGAAGAAAGAGTTGGAAGACTGTTGAGGCAAGTAGCCCCAAAGTCTCTTATAGTCTGGAAAACACACACCTGTAGCTGTGTTCTAGTTACTAAAGCATTTTTAGTCCTTCCCAGCTCTTAAAAAGCAGAAGCCTGAAACAAATATGTGTCCAAGCGCTTCGAAATCAATGCTGATCAAAGTGTTCTGCTGTTAATGGGTCGTGTTGTAGAGCATCCATTAGTTCCCCCGGTGCATATGAGAGTCAGCTGGTTGTGTTCTCATCAAAACACACACACACACACACACACACACACACACACACACACACACACACACACACACACACACACACACACACACACACACACACACACACACACACACACACACACACACACACACACACACACACACACACACACACGCACACACACGCACTTGGTGGATTTATTAAAAAACAACTAAGTAAAACCAACAAGTAATATTTGATGAAGTATTTTTCATAAAATGATAATATTGTGACAGAAGCAGGCAACAAAACGCAGCTCACCTTGAAGTTGTGGATTTTTTCATAAGAACTCTGCCTCTCAGGTGTGTCTTTCAAGGCAATCCGTCGCACCAGAGGTGAGGAGATCTGTTGACAAGAGGCCAGCAGTTTAATGGGCTTCCACAGAATAGTCCCTTTGCTCCCCAGCTTGACTCCCAGAGCCAGCGCCAGCAGTTCCTGATGCTTCCTCTCCTGTCTTTTACCCATGTTGGTGATCAAACCCCCTTTGCCTTCTTCTGCCTCCATGCTTGACTGATCCCCCTTGGGTTTCTGAGGAGATATCTGGAGGGTGCAGCGCAGCAGAGGCTGCTGGCAGCTGATAAACTCTACTCCGGCCCTGGAGGACTCCTGATGACAGCTACCACAGGAGTCGACTCTGCATCTGGTCTGGATCCAAGAGCAGGAAGAGCAGGAAGAACAGCACTGGTAGTGGGCGGCCCACGGGCAGGAGTGTGCCTCAAACAATGGTCCTCTTTCACACACCCAGAAAGGGAGGGAGGGAGAGAGAGAGAGAGAGAGAGAGAGAGAGAGAGAGAGAGAGAGAGAGAGAGAGAGAGAGAGAGAGAGAGAGAGAGAGAGAGAGAGAGAGAGAGAGAGAGAGAGAGAGAGAGAGAGCAGTCTTGGGTAGGAAGAGTTCAGGATGTTTGGAGTGAGATGCTGTCAGGACTGCTTCATTCAGCTCAGCAGCTCTCTAAAGCAGGATCAACGATGCAGACGCCCCCATTAGTGTACCGCCTCCCGGCTGCACTCAACTTCACTTAGCCGGAGATAAAGGCTCCAATCCCAGCACTTCCCAGTCCGCGCTGGTGCTCCTAAACAGGTCACTCTCAAAGACAGACACATGACTGTCTGGCATGGGGGGGGGGGGGGGGGGGGAGCAAGGGTTCATCACAGAGAAGAACCTCCAGTGATGTGGAATTCCCCTCACTGTTGTTCAGACTGGATCTTCCAGACACTTCAACCTGCAGATCCAGACCATTAACTGAGATTGGGAGGGATTACCACCATAATTCCTCTATGGGGAATAATCCAGCAGTGCCCAAATCCAAGGAAAATCCTAACTGAAGCTCATTTGCAGGTCTGCAGCCATGCAGTACTTTTTTGCCGATGGGGGGTTGTTGCCATGTTGATGCAGGATTAACGCTCCTGATAAAACTGCATCACGTGACATGATTCTCCCATATGCAGCACGCACAACACTGACTGCAATTACACATATGACATCTTGCTAAAACACAACGACAAGCGAGATTTTCTTGTTAAGCTGGCTCTTCAGACCAGAACAAATGGAGGTGTCAACAAAAACAGAGAAAATGTAGCAGAGAGGAGCTCACAAAGACTTAAGGCAGAGTAGTGATGTAAGGAGCAACATGCCCTCAGGGCAACTGCAGAGCAGAGATAAAGAGGAGAGGCTGGCAGCGTGCAGGCAGACAGGACGTTGTGTAGCACCTACTTCTGTTCGTCTGTGGGGCAAAACTGACACGGAGCTGTGAGAGCGACAGGACAGGTGAAGGTACCAGCCGCCCCGGTTGACATTTGGACTCTACATACCACACAGCTACATCTGAGTGGAATTAGACGACTCCAAGAAATTTTAGCCCTGCAAGGACAGAGGCGGGGAGGGGGACGAGGCCTATTGTCTGCAGGCAGATGGCTACTTGTCTCCTAAAGAAGAGCTTGGAAAATAAAGAAGGACACAAAAGGTGGTCCACACCACCAAGTTCGCGTTTCTTTTCAGGAGCTTGGCTCTTTTATTCCAGAGTTTTGTGAGAACGCAGCTGAGCAGAGAAGAGCACAGTGTGACAGCACAAAAAGCCCCAACACAGCTATGCACAAGACACTAAAACGGAGGAAAATGAGACTTTTGTCTGCACAAGCATCGTCTCTAAACTGATCTCTGTGTCTTGATGTCTGAGACTGGAAGCAGAAGTCCATGTAGAGGTGCAGTTAACAGTGAAAGCATAACTTTTTCACTTGTATAGCATAAAAACTCTGTTATGTAAAACTAACAAGATAATAATTTCTTGAGAAAAAAATCCTGCTTGAGTTTGCTAGCAGCCCGTTTAGAGTCCCGCTGGGATTCAGTCTAGTGAGAATCAGCAAAGTCAAGAGGTCGACGCAGTCAACAGCTCCTTTTCAGCCTCTGGTAGCACGTTAATCACACAGGCATTTACAGTCGAGGCATTCTCCAAGCATCAGCCCGACCCTGAGTAAATACACCTCAACTTCAGCTACACAGTGAGGCTCCTGTGGCTGTGAGGCCTCGGGGCGTGTTCGTGTGTTTGGTAAACACCGAGTTCAAAAAGAGACCACAGAGGCGAGGTCTCTCCTCTCCAAAGAGCGTCTCTTTGGAGAGTGACAAGCGGGTGGGTTTCCTTTCATGCTGCAGCTATCACAGCTGAAGAAGATCCTCCAGAGAAAATATGGCAGGAAGAAGATATTGTCATTTTTCACAGACGCACCTAGATAACTGGCAGTCTGACATTTACAGCAGACATGCTTCACATTTACTTGGGGGAGGAGGGATGAGAGGGAGGGGAGGGGAGGGAGGAGGGGAAAGAGGGAGGTTACTAAAGAAAGCAGTTCATAAAGGTAAAATCATCAAATCAGGCTGAGAATCCACCAGACACCGTGCCCGGGTGTTAAACTGATCTACGGGGGTCGGTCAGCTCTAAAAATTCAGTTTTATTCTATTTTTATTGCAAAGTAACAAATCTCAGAGTTTAACAGATAAAATAATTTCATGTGACTGATTTAAATATTCTCTAATGATAAATAAGCACTGGCCCAAGCTAATTTGATGTGAATAACCATACGAATGAAAAGAAACATTATGATTTAGTCTGATGTAAACGTTAAATAACAAACAGTTGTTTTGAAAACATGTTTGAATGTGTGTTGATGAGGTCACGATGTGGAAGGGCAGGCTGATCCCTTACAAAATCAATAACTGCCACGGTTGTCCCGGTCCATCTGAAGTAAATAATGCCACATAACTCCAGCAAAGTGAGAGGAAGTGCACTGTATGATCAATCTGATCCCCAAATATTGAACATACAGATGCTGTAAGTTATTATTGTCATGTAGGCTGTGATTTTATCATTTTATCATGCATGAATTGTTAACGCTGAAAGTCAGGAGCTCATGGTCATACCAGCGTTGATGATTTGCGATATAACCTGTAATGTGGTTTCAAGCAGGAAATTATAATAACCAAAAAGTAAAGTAGCTGATAAAAGGATTAGCCCAAAGAGACTGGATTCCTCACATAGAAATACATCTTATTATAGCTTTCCTGGATCATAAAAGAACAGAGTTTAATGACAGTCTGATGCTAATTCTAAAGCAAAGATGAAGCAGCGGTGCCCTGATTACAAGCTAGTAGCATCAAAGCTAATCATGTTGCATTTACATGCAAGTGGTCACAATCCAGAATAAATTAGAGTAAATGATAAAAACAGCAAAAACTATTTCTATATGAGCAATATGTTGATGAGCTGTGTTGTTCCAAAAACACTAGTAATGGTGACAGACGTTATAATTGTCCTGTGGTCTATACGAACATGTTGATGACGTTTTTAGCACTAAATCTCTCACATATAAACATTTCAGCAGTGTAATTCTTGCCAGTTTCAGTACCTTCCAGAATGAGCCCTCTTAGAGCTCTGTCACTTAGGACAACAGGCCGTTGGTGGCCAGCCCCCCCCCCCCAGGCTGCTATAACCACAGATATGAATACGTAGACGCCCCATTGGGCGCTGGGGAGCATAACAGCGTTGCCGCCATGTTGGATAGACCTCCTCACTCTCCAAAGTGAACGCAGAGTGGGCAACTATGCCTGTTTTTGTGCAGCCTACAGCTGCAACAACCGGTGTACTATTGACGAAAAGATTATGGGATAACTATTGACTTTTCTAGCCTATCTGATAGAATTTTAGATTTTAATTGATTTATATTTATTTTGTATATATACATATATATATATATATTTTTTTTATTATGCCACACCATGTGTCTGATTTTGTGAAAAAGCTTGATAATGTGTTTTTTTTAGTTGGGTAAGCATCTTCGTCAGTAGAATATATTGCAGTGGGAGACTCATCCAAGATGGTGGCTGGCCAGTACGGCAGCTCCAGTTGGCAGTGCCAGTGTCTTCTACATATATATGTCTGTGGCAATAAGTGTCATGGTTCTGCCTCCGGACCTCCCCTCCCAACCTAATTACCCCTGAACTCCTCCATCAAAAACCCAAACATAACTCAGAACTCCAGTAACCAACCTGCAGTCCACTGTTCATTCACACCAGTCATTTACAGTCACAGGACTCCACTACCCATCATGCCCTGCATTGGACTTTCTGCCCATGTCATCAGCACAGGAGTACATCAAGAAGTTAGCATCTCAGCACAGGGCTCAGTCATCGTTTTGTTTTGATCAGCGTTCTAGTTGCTCATGAGAATCATGTCTGGAGTTTTCCCAGTCCAGTCTGTCCAGGTCAGAGAAGAATGGTCAGACTGGCTCGAGGCAGCAGCAAATTAAATAACCACTTGTTACAACCACGGTGTGCAGAAGAGCATCTCTGAACACGCAACACGTTGAACCTTGTGGCATATACTCCTGTCAGCTAAGAACAGGAAACTGAGGCCACAATTCACACAGGCTCACCAAACAGGACAATAGGAAATTGGAAAAATGTTGCCTGGTCTGATGAGTCTCGATTTCTGCTGCGGCATTTGGATGTTAAGGTAAGAATTTGGCATCAACAACATCAACAGTTCAGGCTGCTGCTGGTGGTGTAATGGTGTGGGGGACATCTTCTTGGCACACTTTGAGCCCCTTAATACTAATTGATCATCTTTGTAATGCCACATCCTACCTGAGTATTGTTGCTGACCATGTCCATCCCTTTATGACCACGGTGTACCCATCTTCTGATGGCTACTTCCAGCAGGATAATGCACCGTGTCATAAAGCTCAAATCATCTCAGACTGGCTTCTTCACCATGACATTGAGTTCACTGTATTCAAATGGCCTCCACAGTCACCAGATCTCAGTCCAATAGAGCACCTTTAGGATGTGGTGTAACGGGAGATTCACATCATGGATGTGAAGATTTAAAATCTGCAGCAACTGCTGATGCTATCATGTGAATATGGACCAGAATCTCTGAGGAGTGTTTCCAGTACCTTGTGGAGTCTACTCCACGAAGGATTAAGTTCTGAAGGTAAAATGGGATCCAACCCGGTACTAGCAAGGTGTACCTAATAAAATGGCCAGTGAACGTAGTTCTAATCAGTACAAATTGAATATGTGCATTTATAAAACATCAATCAGTAATTTAGCTAACGAAACCAAATCCTCAGAGAGCAAAAAGAGCTCATCTTTTTCAGAGGCGGTTTTACCATTAGGCGGCTGCCTGGGGCCCCCTTGTGTTGGGGGGCCCCCTAGCCCTGACCGCCGGCACCCCTCTGTTAATGCCACAATATTCTTATTACCAACCTGTGGCCGCAGACGGGATTGGACATGCGCACTTCTCATTACCATAATTCCTGAACCGTTCAAGATATCATTAAAATTCCAAAAGTGCTGAAAATATTAAAAATGGGGCTTTTCGTGCATATACAAGACATTACGGTAGCCACTGGGATTCCCTGTCTTGAGCACAACGAATCACAACACAGATTCAGAGACGTGCTGAGTTTGTCATCCAAAATGCTCCGTTTTATAACTTTTGAATGGATGATCAGATTGAAAAAATTCCAACGGTTCCTAAAAGTACATAAAAGCAGCTTTCCAACGATCTGTAGCATAAAGCAATCAGAGTTATGGAAAATATCGCTACAAGGGGAAATCCTGCTGTACAGCCTGATTCAAACGGAGCGCAGCGTGGTGAAAGCGGATAACGGAACGGGGAAGCTACTCAGCATAAAAAACCAGCATGAAATAATGGAAATGCCTCAAAGAAAATCAGCACGATCTATTAGGTGTCCCAGAAGGCTTATATCTGAAGACAGTGACCATGAAGAAGAACAGATCTCCAGTGAACCAGGATATGAACGTTTGTTCAGTCTTTATATTTTATTTTTTTATTTGAACAACCCTCAACTATTTGCTAATTGTAAGATTCAGCTTCATTCCCGCATTATTTATCTTTTTATAATAAATAATTATTTTTGCTAAAACAAAAGTTTTTGGTATAGCAGTGCACGGTGTGCCAGAGAAGCACCCCATGGCGGTGTGAGGTGTGCAGGACTCTGCCTGCAGCTGGAGAGAAACTGCTTCAAGGTCTACCACATCAAATAAAAACGTCTGAAAGTTTAGAAAAATAAATGTTCTTCAAAACTGCAAAAAAAGACACCAATGTTCAAACTTTTTTAAGAATAGATGCATTACAGTTCAAAGTTTAAATGGTTTGCCCAGTAATTTAGAAGTTCCTGTTCAGTAATAAATGTAAAAAATTCAAATCCGTTTTTTGCTTTTTTCACTTTTAAGCTGATTTTTTTGAAGGCTTTAATAGATATAAATTCTAAATACAAACCATACACTAAAAGCTGAGGTTGTTCTGAAAAAAGAAGAGTTACACACACTTTGCGCTTTTTATTACAATTTTACAGCCATAAGATTAAAAAAATACCAGGCGGCCCTGTTATAATTATGGTCATAAGAGGGTTATTAAGACGCGATGCACAGACAGGAAGTGATTGGTAGTCATTCCACTTCAATCCAGTTGGTGGCGGTAATGCACCAAATTATTGTTTGCCAAGTGCCATAAGACCACAAATAATAATAATAAGAGAGGCGGGAGCATTTGTAACAAACTCAAAGCGATAGTCAAAACATGAAGCATGACATGGAGTTATCCTAGTGGCTCCAATAAGAGAAAGAAGCAGCTTGCTTCATAAAAGCTTTTATCTTCACTTCTGGAAGTGACGTTGTTTTTCGATGTAAACATCAAAAGGAAGCAGAAAGGAAAGACTATGGAAAATGTTTCAAGGGAGGAAAACATAGACCAAAATGGAAAATAGAAAAAAATAATAACTAAGGCAAAAGCACAGAAGCACTGACAGGAAGAAGAAAGCAGAGCAAATATTGAAGGCACTCAAAGGGAGAGAAAAACAGGGAAAAAGAGGAGGACCAATAAAAAGGGAAAATAACTCATGTCAGAAGAGGGGAGAGTTTCGCAAATCCAGTTAAAGGTCAGATTGTCGAAAATTTTGTGTAAGGGGCCCCATGTCTTTGTTCGCCTTGGGCCCCCAAATTGTTAAATCCGCCCCTGATCTTTTTACACGAAGAGACTTGAATCAGAGCCAGACTCTGTTAATTCTACAAAAGATGATTTTGTTGCCAAAAAAGTGTCATCTGCCGCTCAACAACTTTCACTGAGTAATAAACTGTTTTCTGTCTGCAGAGCAGAGGACAAAAAAACCTAAAGCAGTCAGACCTGAGGGGCACATCAGGGACACGCAAATGAGAACCAAGAAAACAGAAACATCTGTTAAAGATGAGGAAACCACAGGACAGGAGGTAATAGTGCAACACTGCCCCCTAGTGGACGGGACCTGATTACCCCTCACTGATAAATCTTTCACAGACTCTGATCAGGGTCAGGGATCACGACTACCAGAGAGAAGTGTGTCTCGGTTAAAATCGGAGTGTCCGTCCAATATCGAAGACAGGCGGGGCAAAGTCTCAGTCCCCTCCATCATCACTACCTTTCAGCGTGAACAGTGGAGCGTGTCAGCAGTGAGCAAACCCAGAGGCCACAGGGATGTCTCACTCACAGGACAAAGCCTCTCTCAGGAAAAGTCCTCATTCTGCAGTAAATGCAGCTGAAATGTGAATTAATGATACGTAAAACATGAAGAGATTTCCTGAAGTCACCTGTGTTTTACCCAAAAACGGACTAATTGTTTTACAAAACAATCATCTTAATGGCGGCGCTTTACAACAGAACAGGTATTGTGTATTTATTTGCTCCTATCAGTGTTTTTAGCACATTTTTTAATAATCAAAAATATAAATATACCTTCTTTTGCAAAGTTATGTTTCCTTAATCCATTGAGATGATTGCAAACTTCAAATTGGTGCAAATTTCTGTCAAGTGATTTATTTTTGCAGATTTGCTGCAGTGGACTAAAACAGCCGCCTGACGATCCTCAGGTCAGGACTCTGGGGGGTTTGAGTAATCTTTTGCAGGACTTATTGCTCTTTGTACTGCTGGGATTATTTTATGGTATTTAAAATCTGCTCAAATAAATATTAATCCCATCAGATGCTCCCTGATGGATTAAAGGATGAGAACGTAAACATGCTAACACTTCCAGTTTGAGTTGAACTCACCCTTTCGTCTCTCTGAAATGTCACCCTGCGCGGCTCCGTGCGTCCGTGGCTCAGTCGATGCACCGTTTTGTCTTTGAGCAGCGACGTGTAACCGAGATGCTCGTAGATGGGATTAGTGGTCATTTTGGCTATGTACTCCGCCGCCTTAGTCTCGATGTACAGCGTTATGAGGGCGTCCGTCACCAGGTCATGCACAGACTCAAATCTCTTCTCCCCAACAAAGTGCTTCCCATCATAAAACAGCCTGTAGTTCAGCGTCTGGTGTCCAAACCTGTGGAGGAATGCATGCGTTTAGAAAGAGAAGATGAAACGGGGAACGGGTTTAACACGTTGATAGTGAGCTGATGGCCGGCTCTGCATTGTGATTGTTACGGTACCTTAAAGCCAAGGTGTGTGTCCCTGGCTGTCTTTGGCTCTCCCTGATGAGGTAAGCTGCCTCTGTTCCTGCCAGCAACTCGTCTGCATGACCTCGTGAAATCACACCATGAAATCTGAAAAAAGGATAAGATAAATTCACCCAGTTGTGAACACCATGTGACAAACAAGCAGTAAACATCGAATATAAGACAACAATGAAGTTGAACTCACTCTCTGCCGTAGTACTTGGGTCTGCTCTCCATCTGTAAACCAGACGAAGAAAAATCAGCTGCAACAGTAAGACACGAAAGCTCAAATGAACGGCGTTGAGAATTGTTCTTACAGCCTGTGTGAAAGATAAAGGACTTTACACAACAGGCCAGGCTCTCTCCATCTGGGGCCCTGCGTCTGCTCAGGCAGCAAACCAGAAAGCCAAAGCAGAAGATTAATTAGAGGCAGGGCAGAAAAACAGCAGGTACAAGATGACCAGCTGCAAAAAATTAACAAAAAGCTTGTTAGGGTGTCACACCAGGCTGACTAATGTGTTCTGAGTGCAGATATTTCTACTGACGTATGCATTTTATCTTGAACGTTTTCATATCTCTACAGTGGGAAGCAATTTGGAAGAAAGGATCCTGTTTTATATTTGCTAGTTTCATTAGCCAAACCTTTTAGTTCAGCTGATGAACTCTAATAACGGAATTATTAATGTGAAAAACTTCACAGTTTGAATCAGCAGCATGCTGCTAATCTGCAGCTTTCACTTTGCTCATCAGTGTGTGGCGGGATTAACATAGGAAGAGGCGTGCATCAGTTCTGCTCGCTGTACAATGGAGGAGAGGCGGGTCTGTCAGAAAGGACGTGGTAAGTATTCAGTCAGGTTGTATCAACACGGACTAAAAGAGGAGGCGGAGCTCCACCACCAACAGCTCTGGGAGTTTGTTCAAGGCTAAATTATATTAATGGTGTCATAAATCAGACTGAACTGAACAAACACGAAACGCTCCCGGCTTTTGCTCATCAACGCCGCTGTTCTGACTCCAATCCACATCCAAACCTTTTCTTGTAGATTTTTTTGGGCTTCCTGTTGTGCCCCAGTTTTGTTTTGCTGCCTTGAGTTTATTGTTTGAACCTTTTTTTGTGATGAGCAGCTCTCTGCCCCAGGTCCTTACCACTACAAAATATGAGACACGGTGGAACGGGACAGCTGACCGTCGATTTATATTTGACTTAATTCTGGGTCAAACGCTGAGTTCAGACAGTCATTCGTGAAAGATTCGTGGCAGAAAAAGCCGAGTCATGATTTATTTTTGACTGGACTGAGTTCCAGCTGCAGGAATCAGTTATTTATTTTCTGGAATGTGTTCAAGCCTCAAACCAGTGAGTAATAAAACAGATTATACCAGCAGAGAAAACATGTTTCTGGTCTAGCTGACCACATTGTTGTGAGGGATCATTTTTAAAGAATAAGACGGTTCAGAGTGCTCCGTTGCCAAACCACATGTTCAGAAATAACACTCCCAGAAGGGAGTCGTACTTTACCTGCACTGTGGCTCCAATTTCACTGTTACACTGTTACCTTCATGTGTCAGAATCTGAGCTTCCTGCTGCCCGTTTCAGGCTCGTATCTGATTTTATTTTCTTGAATGTGTAATGATTAACAGAACATGAACACCTTGAGTTCTTTTTAAGGTTCACAGATGTACTGACCTCCTGAGGACACGTGACCCTCTTTGGTCTTGGGGCTTCCTGCTGCAGCTGGTACACTGTTAGAAAATTAGCACGTTAATGGAGTTTGGCTCCACAAGAGCAGGATGCTACACACGTATATCATAGATGTGATTGCATCCAAAATAAACAAGGGTAATGTGAAGGGAACAGGAGGAAAACAAAGCCTGCTGAGCTGCATCTGTGGACATCAGTTCAATGGATGCAAAACTAATTCAGCTTATTAGATTTCAGCAACCGGCCTCTTCTGAGAGACGATGCATCAAGATACAAAACTACTCAGTAATGAAGACATGACACATATCCTCCAGTCTTTGTGTTTTCTGCATGTTCTGTCCTCACTAAGTGCTGTCGTCATGAACGTAGCCTCAGCTATACAGACAGCTAAACACTCTCCTCATCAATATCCAAGAAAAAGGCTGTTGTGTCGAGTTGGATGATTTAATAAGGATAAAGTGTGAAACTGTTGACAAAACAGAAATTAAATCAACATTGCATCAATATATATGCACATAATACAGCAGTAAAGCTACACATCTATAAAACATGACATTTCTCTGCTAAATGACATTCAGAATCACTAACTAAAACATCTAATTAAATAATACTGATTTAGATGCATCCTCACCGGTCGAGCTCAGGAGTGGGCAGCAGCCATGTATAACAAGAAGTCGGAAGTCTGCAATGACTATGATGTGTTCGTGAACGAACTCAGGAGGGTTTTCGTTCCCCCCAGTGGCGAGACGTCAACGGAGACTCAACTCCTCCAGCTCCGGCAAGGAAACCAGACGGTAGCGCAGTACACGTCTCGGTTCCGGACCAAGACGGCCAAGCTGAGATGGGGAGACGACGCGCTAAAAGCGATCTACCTAGAGGGACTCTCCTCCCGCATCAGAGACGGGATGATCGGACAGGAGACCCCCGGGACCCTGGACGAGGCGGCCGACCTCGCTCTCCAAATGGATTTACGCCTCTTTACGCGTCAACCGGCTGAGCCTGCGGCAGCGGCAACCAACGATCGGCTCCGCTCAGCCAGCCCACTCACTGACGAGCCCATGCAGCTGGGACACCTAAACCCAGCAGAGAGGGAGAGGCGCTATAAGGAGGGGCTATGCGCCTATTGCGGCACACCGGACCATCGGCGCTTTGCCTGTCCTTCCCGGCTGGGAAACGCAGACTCCAAGTAGGCAGCAGCAGAGGGGTCCTACTTGGGTCGGCCGGAACCCCCTCGACCCGCACCATGCTCCCAGTAACCCTTCATCTCGCCCAGGGGCCTGTTGAGCTGGAGGCGCTTTTGGATTCTGTAGCGGCGGACTGTTTCATGGATAAGGATCTGGCGACCCGCCTACACATTCCCCTGTCCGCTCTCCACCAAACCATTCCCGTTACCTCCGTGGATGGTACTCCTCTCCAGCCCTATCCCATCCACCAGGAGACGGTGGACCTCCGTATGGATGTACCTCCCCATTCAGAGACTCTCTGGTTCCTGATTATCACAGCCCCTTTGTCCCCACTGATCCTAGGTCACTCCTGGTTCTTACGTCATAACCCCCAGATCTCCTGGTCGTCTGAGCGGGTGCTCACCTGGGGAGTGGCTTGTCATTCCCATGTACCTCCCCAACCTGACTCTGAGCCTGAACCCCCAGATGTTGATGTCTCTCAGATCCCCTCCTGCTACCATGACCTGGCCCGGGTCTTTTCAAAGACACCTACCACCACCCTGCCTCCTCATCGACCTTATGACCTGGAGATTAAGCTCCAGCCTGGCACAGTTCCACCCCGGGGCCGCCTATACTCTTTATCCCCGGCTGAGACCCAGGCCATGGAGGCTTACATAACGGAGGCTCTCCAACAGGGGTTTATCCGACCCTCCACCTCGCCCGGAGTTGCGGGGTTCTTCTTCGTAAAAAAGAAGGAGGGGGGCCTTCGACCCTGCATCGACTATCGGGGTCTGAATAAGATCACGGTCCGCGACCGTCACCCCTTGCCCTTGATGTCCATTGCCCTGGACATAGTGTCCCAATCCGCCATATTCACCAAGTTGGACCTGCGCAGCGCCTACAACTCAGTCAGGATAAAACAAGGCGAGGAGTGGAAAACCGCCTTCATCACCCCGACAGGTCACTGGGAGTACTTGGTCATGCCCTTTGGCTTGTGTAACAGCCCCGCGGTTTTCCAACGGCTAATCACGGACGTCCTGAGGGACATGCTGGGTCGGTGGGTGTTTGTTTACCTTGACGACATCCTGATCTACTCCCGAACCCTGGAGGAGCACATCACACACGTGCGAGCCGTTCTTTCCCGGCTGCTGGAGAACGGACTTTACTGTAAATTGGAGAAATGTGCCTTCCATCAGGAGACCATCTCCTTCCTGGGATTCGTTGTGTCATCAAAAGGATTTTCAATGGACCCCCAGAAGGTCCAGGCTGTCGCCCAATGGCCGCAACCAACTTCCCTAAAACAGCTCCAGAGCGTCCTTGGATTCGCGAACTTTTACCGCCGCTTTATCCGCGGTTTTAGTTCCATTGCCGCTCTGCTCACTGCCCTAACCAAGTCATCCAACCAGACCCACCCTTTCCGTTTCACTCCTGAGGCCACGCAGGCTTTCCGAACCCTGGTGCACCATTTCACAACCGCTCCCCTCCTCGTTCATCCGGACACAACAAAACCGTTCATCGTGGAAGTGGATGCGTCCAAGGTGGGTGCAGGGGCGGTCCTATCTCAACGCGGCCCGAACTCCAAACTCCGCCCTGTGCCTATTTCTCCCGGAAATTCACACCAACCCAGAGGAACTATGGGGTGGGGGACTGGGAGCTCCTGGCTATTAAATGGACACTGGAGGAGTGGCGGCAGTGGCTATTGGGTGCCCCGGACCCATTTACCATCTGGACAGACCACCAGAACCTCATTCATATCCAGAATGCTCGCCAACTCAACCCCCGTCAAACCCGTTGGGCTCTGTTCTTCGAATCATTCCACTTTCATCTGGCCTATCGCCCTGGTTCTAAAAATCTGAAGGCGGACGCCCTTTCCCGCCGTCACGCCCAATCTGCACCCGTCAAGGAACCACCACCCATTTTACCTGCCCAGAGGTTCGTTGCAGCCCTTCACTGGCCAGTGGAGGACGTCATCCGAGCGGCTCTGCTCACCGAGCCCGCACCTGCTAACACACCCTCAAACCGACTGTATGTACCATCCACCTGCCGGTCTGAGGCCCTAGCATGGGGACATGCCTCCCGTGTGGCTGGCCACCAGGAGGAGACTCGCACCCTCCAGTTCCTCCGACGGGCCCTGTGGTGGCCCTCCATGGCCAAGGATGTCCATGAATACGTGGCTGCGTGTCCCACCTGCGCCTGTTCCAAGACTCCAAACCAGCCCCCGGCTGGCGACCTCAACCCTCTTCCTGTCCCACACCGACCCTGGTCCCACATAGGCCTGGACTTCGTTACGGGGTTGCCTCCCGTCAACCAGCTCGATACCGTCCTGAACATCGTGCACAGGTTTTCCAAGGCGGTCCACCTGGTGGCTCTTTCCGGCCTGCCCACCGCCAAGCAAACGGCCGAGGTCCTTCTGGAGCAGGTGGTTCGCCTCCATGGGTTCCCTCGGGACATCGTCTCGGATAGAGGGCCCCAATTCATGTCCAGATTCTGGAAAGCCTTCTGCCGGCTGGTCGGTGCCAGTAGCAGCCTCTCGTCTGTCTACCATCTCCAGACCAATGGGCAGACCGAGCGCGCCAACCAGCAGCTCGGGCGGTACCTACGCTGCTTCGCCTCTTCCCAACCACATGGCCAAAGCATCTCTTGTGGGCGGAGATGTCCCATAATCCCCACGTCTCCTCGGCTACTGGTCTTTCCCCGTTCGAGCTGTGTAATGGTTACCAGCCCCCTCTGTTCCCTCACCAGGAAACGGAGACGGAGGTTCCTGCGGCCCAGCTCCTAGTTCGACGTTGCTGCCTCGCTTGGATCGGTGCTCGGGCTGCCATCAAACGAGCTAACACGGAGTACTCTCGCCAGCACAAGCGCCGCCACCGGCCTGGTCCGACCTTTCAGCCGGGTGATAACGTGTGGGTGTCTACCCGAAACATGCATCTGCCCGCTAGCTCCAAGAAACTCAGCCCACGGTTTCTGGGTCCTCACCCTGTGGAGAGGGTCATTAACCCCGTGGCTCACCGCATCCGCCTGCCCAAGTCTCTCAAGGTTCACCCCGTCTTCCACGTTTCCCAGCTGAGACCGGTTAGGACCTCTCTTCTCGCTCCACCCCCCCCCCCCCACCCCCCCGGAGCCCGCTCCGCCGCCTCGTGGGGTGAGAGGTGATGGTGTTTACGCTGTGCGGCGCCTGCTGGATGCTCGTCGCCGTGGCAGATGATGGCAATACCTGGTGGACTGGGCGGATTACGGACCGGAGGAACGCTCATGGGAACCGTCGAGGGTCATCTTGGACCCCTCTCTCATTACGGACTTATGGGCTCGCCGCTCTGGGACTTCTGGGGCCGTCCCTCGGGTGGGGGGTCCTGTCACGCAACCTCCCTCTCAACCGTCAACCTCCTCCAGGGAGGTACCGCAGAGCCGCTCAGACCATCCGAACTCCATTACCCAACATCCCCAGCGCCAGGCTTCCGGTTCACGTCACCCGCCAAATCTATTTAAGGAAGTGCCACACAACGCCGACTCACTCAGTCATCGTTCTAACCGAACCTAACCTAGAGTCCAAACCAGATCATCTCAGATCACGAAGCCTGTTCAGATCAGACCAGCCAGATCAGACCAGCCAGCTCTAAGAATCCTGCCTGTTCTAAGAGATCAGCCTCAGACCAGGAGTCGCCGTGTTCAGCTGTGTCACCATACAGCTGCGCACCCGGCTCCCAGATTAAACAGCGTGTCCATTCAACCCAGCGTCAGTCACTCCGCGCTTGGGTTAAAAGCCACGCCACATCCAAACTCTCGCCCAGCTCGAGTCACCCCGTTACATAAACAAAGTGCTGCTGCCTTTAGCAGTAAGTCAAACCCAGGACGAAGAACCATTTATGATTTTTGTCCATGTCGTGCCACTTTTGTGCTAAAATATCAAATATACTCAAGTCATCATCAAGTCAACAGGTGCAAGTCGATTCATGTCGCAAGTCATTGGCATTCAAGTCCGAGTCAAGCCATAAGTCTTTATAGATTTTATCAAGTCAAATCAGAAGTCATTAAAATAATGACTCGAGTCCAAGTCACGTGACTCCAGTCCACACCTCTGGTGTTCACCTCTCTCCAGCTGTTAGCTTGGTGATCTAGGAAGAAATAACCCGAGGTTGCTCTGAGACTTTTCACAGAATCCGACTTAAAAGGAAAACTATAATGTTTAGTAGCAAGGCAGTTGAACTCATCAGTAATTTAAATGGTCTTCATGAGTACAACTTGCTTATTTATGTTCAAGAAATAGACAGAATTAGATTAATGACTGTTTAGAAATCATCATCACAACGTGAGCCTGAGCTAAATCACCAGAGCAGCAGAGTCTTCCACCAGGAGGAAGGAAGACTCCTGACTGGGAACTTTCATGTTTTGTCAAGCTGACTTAAGCCAACCAGAAGGATCTGGACAACATCCAGCTCTGAGACACCGACGCCTCTAAAAATATCTTGGAGTCTGACGGGAGGCTTCAGAAAAAGAATCAACAATGGCAACATATGCAAACAACAGTTTTAAATATAGGGAAGGATTTGGATAAAAACCTGTGATTAGTTACACAAGATCTAGGTCTCAGCTTAGAGGATTTCTGCCCAGCTAAGGTTTGAAAAAACATGGAGTAACCTTGTCCTCCCACATGGTAAAATACACAATTTTAGCTGTGCCTCTTTGCAGATGCCTTATTTTCTGAGGTGCTGGTGACCTGTTTTAGTCAGAAAACAGGAATCCACTTCTTTGCATCTGTCTCTTTCTACAGTCACTGGTTTAAAGGCAAGTGTTTGTGTGTTTTAGTGCTGTGTGAGCACCTTTCTAAACCTGCCGTGTTACTGAGGAATGCTGTCTGCGTAATTTGTAGACCCAAAATAAACCTGAAGAGGCACACCGAAGGGCAAAGACTTTAATTAGCATACAAACTGAGTTATTTACTCACAGTAGGACTTCCATATGGGTGGCTGATAGTCATCAGGTTCTGCAAGACACAAATACGCAGGTTCAATGTTATTCTCTTGATAGAATACGAACACTTTGTTGTGATCCCGTTCCTGTTTATCTCTCCGTCAAAAGTATTCATTCACTGTAATGCAGCTGTTACCAGTGAAGACATCGCTAATCGTCTCTGAAAAGCCAATCAGTATTCAGCACACGTCTGGACACCTGCTGGGGTCTGGAAGCACAACACCTCCAGGCTGAGATTAAAACACAGACACAACAGCCAAACCTCAGAGAGGCAAACCCTCTCGTGGGGAAGGTGATGTCTGCGTGCCGATCACAGGATTACATAACGGATTGTGTCTTTAGCAGAGACGAGAGATGAGGAAGGAAATGCCCCCTGAGAAAGTCTACCTGTACAAGATAATTCCATCAGCTATCTCAGATGCTGCAGGGGCTGTTCTGGCTCTCAAACACAAGTGCTGCTTAAAGACATTTTTACAAACTGACTGTTGAAGAAACTATTTGAAATTGTTGCTATAAAAAAGTAAGAATGTTGGTGTCAGCATGCAGAGGACAGGGATCCTTCTAATCACACATGGATGCTTGACTTTCCAACAGTAATTAAAATCTATTCATTGGAACATTTACCGTTAAACATCTTTATCATCCAGTTTCTGCAAAATGTTATAAGTTTGCCAATCATCCATTCACACACACTTCAGTAGCACCTTTTTTACCCATCCACCCCTTGTTCTCCCCTCCACACCTTGGCTGCGCTTAGAAATCCTGTCCATAAAAGTTATGAACAAAATCAGTGACAAAGGGCAGCCTTGGCGGAGTCCAACTCTCCCTGGGAACGAACCCACCTTACTGCCGGCAATGCTGGGTTCTACCAGAATGTGTGACGTGATAGTTTCCCACTCTTACCTGTGGTCTGGTTCTGCACAGTTTCAGGCTCAGAGTTAAGAGCAGCAGCTCATTTCCTCTTATTTGACTGTCTGCTTTAACTGGTTATCTTAAGAGATGATCTGTGTCTGAGTCAATGTCCTAGAATATCATTAGAGAGATGCTTAGGAGTCTGAGCAGCTCTTCGACTAAGTTGATAGACCCAGCTGTGAAGTTCTGGATGCTGCATGAAGACAAGGACTCAGAAGGGTCACGTCATCAACACGAGAAACATCTACCAATCTTTTGTTAGTGGAACCCATCTTTTAAACACTGACTGAAGACTGGGTTGGACAGGCAGCAACAGTGGTCATAGATGGGACTGATGGGGTGACGAGCACAAGAACCAAAGCCATCAGTTAACAGATGGACCTATTGTTCCTCTTCCTGCAAAACTAGACCAATCAGTGAGGGTTTCTGTACAGGTACCTTCCTTTTGTGTCAGCTGGACCATAGCCTGATTCTGATGCAGCCTAGTCTGACTTCCCTAACAAGTAATACAACAAAAGGTCTGCTGGATAGGTGAGCATCTCTAATTATTTATTTATTTAACACCATAAGAACAGATGTATCAGATCTAACAGACCTATTTCTATCAGCTCCTCTAACAGTACAAAGTACCAAAAGTACCTAACATTTCTGAACAATTGCATATCAGCAGTTTATAAACTTGTATTGTTATTCAATAAATGGTTCCTTCTTACAAAATAGTTTTCTGACTATCATTTCATGTGCCATACTTGAAAGGTCAAAGGTCCTAAGAGATTATGATTGTCGATGATGAATTAGACCTAAACCAACACGTCTTTTTAAATTAGAAGAATAAGAAATGAAGCTTCTTGTTGGTCAGCTTTTAGAAGTAAATACGGTAAAACTGCATTATACAGGAACCCTAACCCTCCCGCTGAAGATAAAAAGCCCGGAGAACCCACTGCATCACGTCAGAGCAGTAACACTGAGGCTCACGGTTCACTCTGGACATGTTTATCCAATCAGATGTTCTGCTGCTGGTTTCATAAGATTACCAGCAGCATTTCATAATAAACACACATGAATAGTCTTGATGGAGGTTGAACAAAGCAGATTCTCATAAAACCCATTCAAATTTCAAAACACAGTATTTCTACTGGGATGATAATTAAGACAATTATTATAAATGTTGCAACAACAAAGACAGGCAACACATTAATATTTGTTTCTCAAGAGACACAACTGCAGGAACAAATCCATACTCCAGCAGACCTCACACCCAGCCTTCAGAATATCTGAGCACATGCATCTGCAGCGCGAGCAATGGAGACACACAACTTTCCCTCAGCGTCTTCTACAGGAGACCAAGCCTACCGTCTGGAATAATCTCATTTTATTCATCTGACTAATTATTTGTTTCACCTTCAATAAAATAATTAGCAAAACTGCAGTTGTCCTTTGTGAAATGATAAATTAAAATAGAAAAACAAGTTGCAGTTGTCATATTTAAAACCTTGACCCCTTCTTTCCACCGGAGCCGTCAGCAGCACGTTACTGCTGCAGCACGTCTTGCTCGCGTAAGCTGCTGCTTGGCCCTTCCCACGAGACGCAAAGCAGCAGGGGAGCAGCTGTCTCCGACAGAGCACGAAGTCACACGAGTGACTTTGTCAGTAAACACAACAACAAGCAGGAAAAAATTACAACATGGCTCCAAAAGGTTTGTGTTTTATGTTCTGTCCATTTTATAATCGCCAATGCGGACCTGAAAAACAAAGGAGACCGCTAGCTAGGTGATAACTTCTCACGGGGCCGCACAGTTAGTAACTTTTTAAAAGGTAAAGGAACCAGAAGACAGTACGTTTCTTTATTCTGAAAATTTCGGGAGCTTCGCTCCGTTTCCGCATCCGATTTCCTGTCTTTCCTTCCCCAAAAATGCAAAAATACCTTGCTGCAGACGCAGGGGGTGGCCAAGATGGCGGAGTGAGCAGACGCTTTCTACCGAGTTCTGCACAATCAAACTTTATTTCAGACAAGGGATATGTCCATAACAAGAATAAAAAATAAAAATAAAATACAAACACATTCTAATTACAAACCGTATAGGCAGTTGCTCCAATGTTCATGAACAACGGTAAAACCTCAACTTTATGCTGCCAACACTAACATTTCACTAAACAAGAGAAGATACAGTAATTATAGGGCAAGAATGTCGAACCAGAAAGGAGCGAAAAGGGGACTGGAAAGTTCCAAGTCTAACATAGCGCCTGAGGATGCTAATGAGAAGAGTGCTACGCCCAGCAACGTGCTAATGGATAGCTTTCATGACTACGCAGCTACCGCAGTAGAACTCGCGCTAGCCGAAGAAGACATGGATGAGTTCCCACCTCTCCCTGTTACACCTCTTAAATCACCAGCTCCGAAGAAGGTGATGTATGAACGCAGCAGCTCTGATCCAGATGATGCAAATCAGATAATTTCTCGTCTGTCGGCACAAATAAACACCAGGTCTGATAACATTGAGAGCATGGTGAGAGAGAATATGCTCCAGATTGATGGTCTCAAAAAGACGATTGAGTTTGTGTGTGCGGAAATGAAAGATATGAAGGGGAAAGTTTGCGACCTGGAAAAAAAAGTAACTAAAGAGGAAGGTCGAGTGGACAACTGTCAACAGAGAATATCTGAATTGGAAAGATATTCCAGGAGGTGGAATCTCAGACTACATGGAGTCAAGGAGGCTGAGAAAGAAGACGTAAGGGAAAAGGTGATTGAGATATGCAAGTCTGTTCTGCCAAAACAAAATCATAGGCTGCCTGACGTCATCGACACCGTACACCGACTCGGAGCCAAGCGACAAGATAGCACCAGACCTAGAGGCATCATCGTGCAGTTCACCTCCTGAAACTACAGAGATGCTGTATGGAAAGCAGCCAAAACTTCCTCCTACCTGCAGAACAATCATTTGAGGTTCACTGAAGATCTGTCCATGGAGGACAAAGAACGTCGTGACAAACTGTGGCCGATGATAGACAAAGCCCGTAAGGAGGGTAAGCCAGCTTATTTCGTAGGAGGTCGAGGATTCATCAGTGGATCAGAAGTTTTCCCTCCTTCATAGAGAGGCTTATTCAGTCTCCAACATAACATTTCTGCAAGTTTGTTTACATGGAGAACTTTATATTTTCACCCTCAGGTTAAAGTTATATTTTGTTTTGAAGAGTGTGTTTGCTTATAAAAGCTGTATTTAAACCATAGCAGATAGTTAAATTGTATATTTTTATAAGCTTAGTTACTCAGGGTTTTTACTGTTCTATTACTTAAATTGTGAAGCACCCGGTCCCCTTATTCTATAGATCTATTCTTAGCTGTAGATGTTCAGAACCTACTTTCTCTCTCTATCTCTTTTCTAATAACTTTGTCTTTTTCATTTGTTTCTCTTAATACCAGGGGTTTAAGACAAACATGTAAATGCAAAGCTTTATTTTTGTTTGCCAAACAATTTAAAACAGATTTTTGCTTTTTCCAAGAGTGTCATTCCACACCTGCTGATACAAATTTTTGGAAATCGCAATGGGGTAATGACATCTGGTTGTCCCATGGCTCTGAGCATTCTGCTGGAGTTGCCACATTTAAAAATAAATTTTCTGGGGATGTATTACACTCTGACTGTGACACCTTAGGACACTACCTCTGCTCAATAATCAGACACAATAACAGTACTTTCATTGCAGTAAATATATATGGGTACAATAACAAAACAGAAAATGATAAATTACTCGACTCCTTAGAAGAAAGAATTAATTTCTGGCTCTTCAAATACCCAAATTCAGTCCTATTAATTGGTGGAGACTTTAACATCGCTTTAGACAATACGGTTGATAGGTGACCTCCAGAGCAGCAATCCTCATACAGTGCAAACTTAAAAAATTTTATGGGAAAATTTAATGTTGTGGATATTTGGAGAAAAAAATGCCCAGATGATAGACTCTTTACTTGGAGCAATAAGACAGGATCCAGGCAATCACGTATTGACTTCTGGCTTGTTTCTGACTGCATTGATAAAGATAATATTACTGTTAATATACATGCCACCCCCCTCACTGATCATAGAGCAATTCACATTAACGTCCAAATAATTACACTGGATAATATACCTCATAATTTCTCTTATTGGAAGTTAAATAACTCTTTGCTAAAAGATAAAATGGTTAACATGCAGATTCATAAATTAATCGGTTATTATTGGAATAAAGCTAAGAGAGAAATCCTTTTGTAGAAACTGGGAACTTTTTTTAATTTGAAGCATGCAAATTCTTGAGAAGATACGGGAGTCACATTGCTAAATTAAGGAAAGTTGAAGAACAAGACGTAATAAGCAGAATTGCCTCTTATTACCAGAAGTCCCCAGAAGAAATCTCAGAGGAAGATCAATTAAGTTTACTAGAACTTCAAAATAAATTGGACGGTTTATAGCGACGCAAGGCTGAGGGTGCTTTTGTAAGATCCAGGAAGAGGTGGCTGGAGGAGGGCGAACAAAATTCTGCTTACTTTTTCAGGCTTGAAAAATACAGATCAAAAATGAACTCTATTCATCAACTAAATATTAATGGCATTGTCTCTGACAATCCTAGAGAAATTTCACATTTCTGTGCCGAATTCTATACTAAACTATACAACTGAAAATATAATGAGGTTGTCTCAACAGGATTTCTCAATAATATTAAAACCCCAAAAACAATTGTTGTGGAAGATAGAATTTATTGTGACAGCCCTCTGACTGTGGAAGGTCTGTACTTCCATTTCTGCACTTAAGGCCAATAAATCTCCCGGCACAGATGGTTTGACTGCAGAGTTTTATAAATCTTTTTCTAATCTCCTGGCCCCGTTTTTACTGCAGGTTTTTACAGAAAGTATAGAGAATAACACCCTCCCTCCTGCTCTTACTCAAGGTCTCATAACACTTATCCCAAAACCAAACAAAGACTTACTTTTTATTGATAATTGGAGACCCATCTCTCTGCTCAATAATGACTATAAGATTATGGCTTTAATACTTGCTAACAGGATTAAAGAGGTCTTGGACACAATTATTGATGAGACACAATCAGTCTTTATGCAAAATAGACACATTTCTAATAACATTAGACTGGTTTTGGATTTACTTGATTACTCTGATTTGGTATCTGACAATGGCTTCATTATCTTCCTGGATTTTTATAAGGCTTTTGATACAATTGAACATCAATTTATTTTCCACTCTTTGGAAAAATTTGGCTTCGGCAGGTTTTTCTGTAAAGCTGTTAAAACCTTATACACAAATGGCAATAGTTCTATTAAAATGATTAACGGCTCCACCCCGAGATTTGACCTGAAACGTGGTATTCGCCAAGGATGTCCTATTTCACCATATTTATCTTTACTTTGTACACAAATTCTTGCAACTAATATTTCAAACAGCGTTGTACAAGGATTCACCATAGCTGATAAGGAGC